TCCGTTGACGCTTAGGTCTTTCGATGGTTCATCGGCAGTCACGGGCGATGTTACTCATTTTGTGGATGGTATTTTTATTATTCCTTTGGTTTCGGGAAAATTTTTAGAATCGAAAGTTCGACTTCATGTGACGCGGCTTTCTTCGGCCTCTGTTATCTTTGGTAGCACATGGTTGAAAGCTACCAATACATTTATTGGAGGTGTAAACAATGAAATCATTATAGATGGTTGTGGTTTTTCAAATTCTTCTGTGGAGGAATCCCCTGGTGGGTTTTTGTTAAAGAAGTTTTCTGATGTATTTGTAACAGATAGTTTGGCGTCTCTCCCTCCTCATCGGGCTGGGTTTGATTGTGAAGTTAATCTTAAGGAAGGAGCTGTTCCCCCTTTTGGGTGTATGTACAATTTAAGTAAACCTGAACGCGACAAATTAAAGAAATATATTGATGACAATTTGCAAAAGGGTTTCATTAAGGTATCATCGTCCCCGGCTGCAGCACCCATTTTCTATGTCAAGGTGGAAGGAAAGTCTGATCGACCTTGTGTAGATTATCGATTGCTGAATGACATGACCATTAGAGATTCTTATCCCTTGCCGGTGATATCTCATTTATTGAATAATCTGCATGGTTGTAAGTTTTTCTCAAAGGTCGATCTCAAGGCTGCTTTCAACTTACTTAGAGTCGCGCCGGGTCACGAATGGAAGACGGCTTTTAGGACTCCATGGGGTCTTTATGAGTATCATGTGATGCCCTTTGGGTTGGCTAATGCTCCAGCAACCTTCCAACGCTTTATTCAACATGTTTTACGAGAATATCTTGACGTCTGTTGTTTTGTTTATATTGACGACATTTTAATCTTTTCTAGGACGCAAGAGCAACATCTTATTGATTTAGAGAATATTCTGACTAAATTAAGAGAGTTTTCTTTAAAGGCATCTTTGAATAAATGTGAGTTCTTTTGTCCTCTAGTGACGTTTTTGGGTTTTGATATTACGGCGGAAGGTCTCAAGATGAATGTAAAGAAGTTGGATACCATAAATCAATGGCCTTACCCTACTAATTTGAAAGAGTTACGCCGTTTTCTGGGTTTTACTAATTTTTACAGGAAATTTATTCCGGCTTTCTCTAAGGTTGCCGGTCCGTTGACATCTTTAACTAAGGGCGATCTTGGTAATCAAGTTTCGTGGCGGACGGATTCATCGGTCAGGGCGTTTGAGGAATTGAAGTCGTTGTTTGTTAAAGAACCTTTGCTTCTTCACTTTGATTTTAATAAACCACGATATGTACATGTTGACAGTTCGGGCTTTGCTATAGCAGCAGTGTTAAGTCAGCCGGATGATCAAGGTAATTTATTGCCGGTGAGTTATTTTTCGAGAAAGCTTACGGATAGAGAACGTTCCTGGATGATTTTTGATTTAGAGTTACTTGCGATCGTGGAGGCTTGCGAGGAATGGAGAGCTTGGTTAATGGGAACTGAAGAACCAGTCAAAATGTTTTCTGATCATTCCAATTTAGTTTATTTTAAAACCGCCAAATACCTGTCCCCAAAACAAGCAAGATGGGCTTTGTTTATTGACAATTTTAATATGCTGATTTACCAGGTTTCAGGTACTAAGAATCCAGCGGATGGGCCTAGCCGGCGTGAAGATTTGATAGGCGATAGGACTCGAATATCTGAAGCTAAAGCGATTGTTGATCGGATGGTTTCGGGGGTAGATTGTGATGCTATTACGGAATCTTCTACAGTAGGTTTTCATGGTATTCATGATTTATCCTTCCAGAGACCAAATCAAGCGTTATTAGATTTTTTTTCGAAACACTATGCTGAAGAAGAATTTAAAGGAAATGATATATGACGAGTCGGGGAACTTTGTTTCCATCGAGATAGGATATTGGTTCCGAAGTCGTTACAATTAAAGATATTGCGTATGTATCATGATGCACCGACAATGGGCCATCCAGGGGTTGCCAGGACTTTGTCGACCTTGTTGAGGACGTTCTCTTGGCCGTTGGTAACAAAATCCGTAACTGATTATGTTAAGTCTTGTGATTCTTGCCAAAGGGTAAAGGCTCAGCGACAAGCAAAGGATGGACAGTTGGTTCCACTGGTCGCGAGTCCTAAGCCGTGGAGTACGATAGGAATGGATATGATTGTGAAATTGCCGGTGTCAGGAGGTTTTGATTCTATTTTGGTGGTAATTGATTTATTAAGTAAATTAACTCACTTCATCCCTTGTAAGGAAGCTTCTTCTTCGGCAGTTTTAGCAGGTTTGTTCCGCAAGAATATTTTCCGACTGCACGGTCTCCCGGATCGCATAGTTTCGGATAGAGGAGCAACTTTTGTGAGCGACTTTTGGAAGTCGTTAATGACATCTTTAAGCATCCAGTCGGCATTGTCAACGGCGTATCATCCTCAAACGGATGGTCAAACGGAAAGGATGAATCAAGTTTTGGAGGATTACTTACGACATTATTGTTCTTATTATCAAAATAACTGGGATGAGTGTTTAGATATGGCGGAATTTTCGATTAATAATTTAGATTCAGCAAGTTTAAAAGTTTCCCCTTTTTTCTTTTCTTATGGTCATCATCCAAAATTCAATATTATGACTGAATCTGTGGGACGGAAAGATTTAGATGAGTTTCTTTTGGATTTGCAGCTGACACAGGAGACGGCGATGGAGTGTTTAATTCAGGCACGCAAGCGTCAGGCATTATATTATAACAAACATAAGAAGCCGGCTCCTGTCTATAAAGAAGGTGAAGAAGTTTTGCTATTGAGGAAGTTTATTGAATCTAGGAGATTGAATTCTAAACTAGATTATCAATATATCGGTCCTTTTAAGGTGAAAGGTATGGTGGGTAAGAATGCGGTTGAGTTAGATATTGATAAAGAGTATCCAAGATTACATCCGGTTTTTAATGTGTCACTGATAGTCCGTTATATTAGTCCAAACAGTATTATAAATCGAGGTTTGGTTGAAGGTATTAAAGATAAGTATTATAGAGATGAGGAAGCTGTGGATTGGACTCTGATGAAGGCGGTTTTGAAAGCGCGCTCTTTCAAGAAGGGTAAGTATGATTTTTTAGTTTCTTGGAAGAATTCTACGGTGGCAAATGATACTTGGATTGCTGAAGATCATTTCCCAAGTTCCATGAAATCATATTTAAACACATTTAGAGAACTTCATGGTGAATTGTTTGGTGGGAAGAAGAAAAAGAAGAGCAAAGCGGCAAAAAAGCCCCCGACAGAAGTCAGAGTATAAGGTGAGTCTTATTTGTAACGTTTGAAGTTTATGTTAACAAAATCTTTTATTTATCGGTAAGATTTACTGGTTTATTAGCTATATACCGACTATGTTAGATAGTTGGTTGTTATGTGAATCTTTATAATTAATTGATTTCATTATAATGAGCCTGATTTCATTATAACTTGATTCGGTTATTGTTTTCCTTGTTATTATATATATGATCGTTGTTTCTCTTTCGTGTCTTTCTTTTCTTTTCCTCATCGCGATTTTCTTTGTTTTATTTATCATCATTACATTTCGATTCTCGAAATAAAAACCTCGAATTCTTTTCTTTATAAAAAACCCTTTCAAGAGTTTATCTTTCTTTAGAAAGTAAACTACCCTCTACTCTTTCATAATATAGACGGTTTACTCTCTTGAGTAAACTTATAGTCACTCAAGAAAAGAAAGTAGTAGGCGGGCTCTCACACTCTGCAGGTGCTTGTCATTTCCTTTGCCTTGCTACTCTCTCCCTTCTCTTGATCTCAGCTCCTCACACCCCTTTGGTCTTTTGAAATAAACAGTCTCAGTTTCTGAAACCTGAAGTTACTAAGAACCATACACCACATTCATCTAGACAAGTCCTTTTGAGAAAGCAGTACAAATATTCTGCTCTTGAATGGAGGCACACTATGTGATTACAGAAAACAAAGGCGGCCATCAAATTCCAACTTCTTGAAACACATGAGGAATTCACAGTCAAATAACTACCACTATGTAGTGCTTAGAGAAAGAATTATTGATAGACCAACGATTCCCATCACCTTTGACTTTTCAATAATTTTGGGGGTTCCACACCCAGGACCATCTCAGAATGTCTTGGTTTGAGCTTTGGTCCAGACGCACACATAGACCGGATTGAAATTGAGGTGTTGTTGTTGCCCTGATTCTTGGGCATCAAATGGCCCTATAAGTAAGGTGGGACTTGGGGGTGATGGATCATGCTTCTCATGAAGAGGAGCTTTCTCCTGCAAACTTGAGCACTTTCCTCGAAGATTGGTTGGATTCTTCTGCTGTGACCTGGTGTAATGATTACACCCACATGGTCATGGTGGTGTATATACAGATGTCAACTAGTAGTTGTCATAGGTGCATCTTTTGTCTTTCCCTTGGTCTGCACAAAATGTTCAGGATAGCCAGGACAGGAGAGGTGGATTCAAGAATCAGATCAATAACCACAAACCCAGTCCGATTTACTTACTTTATTGGAGCCCATAAGTCTGGCCCTAATCAGCAAGAGTCTGAGTTGATGTACGGCTCATGCGAGTTGTGATGTCATGACTGGATGGAAAGTTTGAGTCGGGATTGTATCGTCACTCACGATGTGCGTTTGGGGGGGGGGGGGGGGATGGAAGATGTACATGCAGGATGGCTTGTGTGGAGGATTCAGTCTTTAAAGCTCCTCTGGATCCAATCCGTGCTAGCTGACTTGCGTTTGTATTTCGTGATCCTCCTCATCCAGAAGACACATTGTCAACGACATGAGCCGATGGGCTATGTGGTCGACCAGGCTATTCTTCAACCACTAGGCCTCCTCCTGCTCCCTCCCCCCCCCCCCCCCTGAGAGTGTAATTTAGTACTTGTCTGATCAGCTCGATTTGTGCTTGCCATTCCTCGACGGGATGGGGGAGACACACGGAATCATCCAGTCCCTCCATATATACAAAGATCTCCGAATCAACAGAGCTGCAGCATTTAAACGAGAGAGAGAGAGAGATTGTTTATGAAGTTGATCGATCCCAGGGTTGTGCCGACATAAACAGATTCTCGATTCATGTGGTTATGTACACAAGTTGCAGTTCTTCTGCTTGAAGATGGAACAGCCTACATATTTATTTAGGTGGCGACTCATGGGTGGACGCAGGTTGTGGGATTCTGCTTGGAGCTGCAGCTTGGAGGAGGAGGAGGAGGCTGTCGAACAGTGTGGGTTTACAAATCAAGTCCTGCATGTGCAAGGCTTTTGTTTACATGGTTACGTAGGGGCTGCAAGAGCTTGAGTGATAGATATTGTTGTAGAAATTTGAATCCGCGAAGTCTGCCTGCAACTGCAGAACGATGTAAATAAATGGTCATATTGGTGGTGGTGGTGGTGGTGCGGATGGAATCGATCATGGAGGCTTATCGGAGATTCCGAGTGAGGGCTGAGTTTACGTATGCTTTTCTGTGCCCAGGGAAACTTGGACTGAACCAAACCAAGGGTGTTGTTGTTGTTGTGTCACCGGAAAGGGGGATGTTGTAAATCTTGCCGTGCGGCTCGGATGGTTTTGTTGTTGTTGCTGTTGTGGTTTTTGTGTTTTGTGTGTGTTTTTGTGTTTTTGTTCGGTTGCAGTCTCCTCCTCGGCTCTTTATAAATTTCCCCAACCAATCTTCCCATATTTTTCCTTCGCTTGAACTTCTTCACTGTATCCCTTCTGACGGCAACAGTATTACCAAGAACCACATCCCCCGTTTGAAGAGAAATGTCCAACCAAGCACAGTCCACCAATGGGGTCCACTCCAACGGACACTCCAATGGCCACTCCAATGGGACCAATGGCCACTCCAACGGCCATTCTAACGGCCATCAACAACCCACCTCCACTCCGATCCTCTCCAGCTCAAATTCGATCGAAACCCTCAACCAATTCATCACCACCCCAACCTCGCCTCATCTCTCCGACTCTGTCTCGGGTCGATGGGCCTCATTGACCCCCAGTCCTAATAACACCCGTCCTGAAAATGTCGGGATTCGTAAGTTCCTTTCGTTTGTTTGCTTCATTACCACTTCTTTTCATCTGTCCAAATCGAGATCCGATCGATTATCCAGAAAAAAAAAAGACATACTTAAAACCGGCACAAAACCGAAAACAAGCGCTCAAGATCTTAAGAGCCCAAAACCACCCCCCCATTGATCATCAGAAAAGAAAGAAGAAAAAGAAGACATGAATTAAATCTTTGCTCTCGGAACCCGTGATGATCGCTAACCTTCTCTCTTATTACTTGTCCGTCCACAGTGGCCATGGAAGTCTATTTCCCTCGACGATGTATCGATGAGAGTGAACTGGAGAAATTCGATGGCGTGGCCGCTGTCAAGTATACCATCGGTCTCGGACAAGAACACATGGCCTATTGTGATGACCGTGAAGATATCAACAGCTTTCTCTTGACCGGTAAGCTACCTTCATTCTTTTTTTCTAAACACACACACACAAAAAAAACATCACTTTTGAGATCTGACCCGGCTATTGGCCTTTATTTTTAATCTTTGGATCAGTGACCCAATCATTGTTGACAAAGTACAACATTGACCCCCGTTCGATCGGCCGGATCGATGTGGGCACCGAGTCGATCATCGACAAGTCCAAGTCAGTCAAGACTCTCCTCATGGATCTTTTTGCGCCCTCCGGAAACACGGACATCGAGGGTGTCGACTCGAAGAATGCATGCTACGGCGGCACGGCCGCTCTCTTCAACGTCATCAACTGGGTAGAGAGCAGGAGCTGGGACGGCCGTTACGGCTTGGTCGTTGCCGGTGATATCGCCGTCTATGCTGACGGCCCTGCTAGACCCGTCGGTGGGGCAGGCGCTGTGGCTATGCTCATCGGGCCCAATGCCCCCATGGTGTTCCATCGTATGTCTCCTCTCGTCATTATGCAAACCACCCACCTTGCCTCATAAACTAACTCTTTTTTTTCCGTTATCGCTTCTAGCTGTCCATGGTACCCACATGACCAACTGCTGGGACTTCTACAAACCCGCATTAGCCTCAGAATTCCCCGAAGTCGATGGCCCGCTCACTCTCACTGCTTACTTGTCAGCTCTTGACAATGTGTACGATCGGTTCCGGGAAAAGAACGCTCAACCCGGCCGTATGGTTGCCAACGGCTCGAGCGATTCCAAAGCCAATACCAGTCTTGAGTCTTTTGACTTTGTCGCTTTCCACGGCCCTTACGGGAAACTTGTTCAAAAGGCCACCGCACGATTGGTAAGTGACCTTATCACCCCTTGGTTTTCTTTTTCACAGCATTAAACCAACTAACTGGGTGTTCGGTGAATTATCAGTTGTACCTGGACTTTTGCAGCAACCCGGAGAAACCGGAATTTGCTTCGGTAGATAAGGCTTTGCTTTCGATCCCCCGAGCCAAGAGCTACAACAACAAGGAGATTGAAAAGACATTTGTCAAGCTCAGCGAAGAGATCTACAAAGCCAAGGTGGTGCCTACGACGCAATGCATGAAGAGGCTTGGGAACATGTACACGGCCTCGCTCTATGGGGCCTTGGGATCGCTGATCGATTCGGTTGGCGGCTCGGAGGATGTGGTCGGGAAGAAGGTGGCCATGTTCAGTTACGGCAGTGGCTTGGCCTCCAGCTTCTTCCAGATCGAGTTCCGAGGTGAGGTGAAGGAGATGAGGGAGAAGATCGACTTGAAGGCTCGGCTAGCCTCGATGACTGTCAGTCCGTGTGCAGAGTGGATCGAAGCTTTGAAAGTAAGAGCCATCATCTCCCTTATCAATTTCAGTAGAGACAAGTCAAGCAGACTCATTGATTCTTAACACTTGTCCGCAATTCTTAGGTTCGGGAAGAGAAACATAACATCAACAATTACACCCCCGAAGGCGATGTCCAGAAGCTATGGCCCGGCCAGATCTATCTCGAGAATGTGGACAAGAGCTGGAGAAGGACTTATCGAACCGCTTAGAATGCACTTCTTCTTCTTCTTCCACCATCATCACCCTCACCTTTTTCTTGGGCTTCTTATATCTCTCACAACAATCATCTCAAAAAGCACCCTCCCAATCCACTCGGAGATTCCAGTTCATCTTCTCTGTTACCGTATCTTGAGTATTTGTTTTCTCTTCATCAGAAAATAAACTAAAACTAAAACTAAAAAATCAATTTAGATCCTATCCTAACACTCCTCAAAACCAAAACTACACATATCCATACCATATAGGGAGCCTGAGAAGTAGACGATCCTCTCTCTCTCTCTCTCTCTTGAAGGTTTTTTTTTTTCCTTTTGAGGACTTCTCTCTCTCTACATAAAACCCTTCAACAACCATCTTAGACCTCTCTTTTCTTCATAAAATAAAATCAACAAATAACAATAAAAGACGTCGTCCAAGATACATATTATACCTCTTTCTTTTTTTTCTCTTCACAATATTTATATATCATTTCTCACATTCAACTCTTACTATTGTTATATCATTGCTATCTCTTATTATTAGTAGACTTATTTGCTCATCTTAGTTGAAAAAAAATTCTTGCCAATCATGATGATGATGTTGATGATGGTGTGTGTGGGCATGAGAGTATTGAGAAAGAACACGGTGGATTTCTGATGGATGAGACCGCACCGATTCCCATGCAAGCTGAGGGGGGGGGGGGGTGAGGTTGAGAGTAACAGATGCAGGATAGGTTCGGCCCGAGCTTATGACGACCGGCGTGGTTGGATTGATGAGACTGGGATGTCGGGAGGCATTGGACGATGGGCCTGAAGGCTGACTGGCTCGTCGAGCCTTGCCGGCCTTGTGACTGTGAGCCCACGGAGCCGAGCCGGTGGCTTCCGTCACAAAGACCATCAGCGCTGACCCGTCGTCCTGTAAGCCTTGTCACCCCCGCCCCTTCTGAAAACTCCCAACTATTCTCCCGGCTTGGGGTTTGAGTATCTATGGGATACAGAGTCGGATTCCCAAACAAGAGTTTGGTGAGCTGTAGGAGGGACGAGCCAGCGGGGTTGTGAGGCGTCGTAGGTTTGTTGTTGGCGGCCCCCCTGGTTGAGCAACACACATGTCGCGTGTTAACAGGGAGCTTCAGAGCATTCAACTGTTCTCTCTCTCAAGCTGGGCCTTCAAGAACGTCAGACAAAATCAACAGGCGTACCACGCCCATCCAAGCATCAGCCCCAAGGCGAGGGGGTGCCGCCCCCCACCCCCTTTCCAACATAGAAACCTTAACCAAAGATATTAAATTACAAAGAAAGAAAAGTATATAGTGACCTGAGATGATGTATGTATGTATGTTGCAATTGTATATATACGGGAATATATATATAAGAAAAAAAGACGAGATAAAAGGGATGTGAGTGTGGGTGTGTGTAAGTCCGAAAAGGGTTCAGCTTGTGTATGAAAACAAAAGTGGGACGGAATAAGTGGGAAGAACGAGAAAAAAGAATTTAAGAACAGCGGAGGAAACAAAAGAGGGCCGCAAGGGTTTCAAAAAGTACTGATACTTAGAGGATAGCGAAGAGGCCAGTAGCGATGAGAGCGAGGACGAAGGTGGAAGCGACGGGATTGGCGGACGAAGGAGCGGCGCTCTTCTTGGCTCCGCCTTGGGCGTTTCGGCCGCCCGGTGACGACGAGGCGGGGCCGACGGCCCGGCCCGTGGGCGAGGTCACCGGACAGTTCGGCACCTTCAGTCCGTCCTTGTATTTCACTGAAAGAAGAAGCATGACCCCAGTTAACTCCCATTATCAGCATTTCACAAACTCGTCAAAAAAAAAAAAAAAACTCACTGTTGAAGTCGTAGAGTCCCCAGTATGGCTGATGAGACAAACAAACAGAAAGTAAGCAAGCGCGTCAGCTTTCACCGTCGACTGTGTAGATATCAACAAGTGCTATATTTTACCTCAACTCCACCGTATTTCTTCTTCCACTCTTCATCTTTCAGCTGTAATAAGTGATAAATCAGTAAGTCTTCAAGAGCTGCTGAGAAAGGAGCAGACAAACCTCGAAAAAGAACTGCGATAGGAAGAAAGGCATCCATGTCAGTCAAGCTATTAGTTATGAGACTATGATTGATCGAAAAAAGGAGCAGTGACTAACGTAGTTGGTGTTGTTCTTGTTAGCCTGACAAACGAAGGAGTCCATGAAGGTCTGTAATCCTTGGACAGAGGCTTTGCTGGGCCCGTTGGTGGTGATACTCGCGTTGTCAGAAGCTGTTGGCCAACCAGTCTCGGCAATGTACATGACGGGCTTGTTGGGGGCTTGGGCGCAGACATTGACATCGAAGTCCTGGACGAGAGACGGATAACAGTGTTAGAAAAGTCAGTAAGGGTAAGTTGTGGATGGAAGGGTTGCGCTCAACTTGGAAGAACTGCCAAGTCCATCCCGCAGATTGCTCGACTGGAACGTGTCCAAACCTGTAAGTGAACAAGGATCAGTGCCCAATATCGGATCATCAACGAATCAAAGGATGGGATGTACCAAGGGTGAACGTTAGCCATGACGTAGTCCGCACCGGCGCACAGCTCCTTGGTCACCGCAGAGCCGGCATCGGCTGTGCCGAGAGGGATGGCTTTGTCGAGCTTCATGGCCTTCAAGGTCTGGTTGGTCTTTTGGATGTAGTTCAACAGGGTGGTTCGGGCGGCAACTCCCTTGGGATCGGTGGCCGAGCCGCCATCGCCGTAGGAGAGTAAAAGAAATTCGTTCTAGATTGACAGATGGAAAGTGCGCTCAGCTGGGCCCCCTCAAGTGCATCAATTTACAAAGTAAAAGACTTACACCGACGGTGATACCAGCGATGTGTTCGGTACCATACTTCTGAATGGCAGTGGTGACCGCATTCAATTGTCGTTCATAGACGGTGTCGTTACCGTCGATGAAGATGCCTAGCCAGACGCTCAAGTCGACGTTTCCGGCTTGCTTGATACCTTCCAAGACGAGCTCGGTCTGGTTGCAATCGGCGCCACTAGAGAAAGGTTCAAGACGACCAACGGATGATGAGGGCTAGGGCGAAGCGGAGAAGAGGCTGGGGAAGGGGTGGTGCTCAACTATAATCGGATACGAGGTGTGAGTTGGGCAAGCTTGCCCATGTCTCGGGTCACACTGGCTTGGTCGGCACCACACTGTGGGAGCAGCGCGCCGTCGGGCGAGTAGGCCATTCCGTAGAAACTTCGGGTCACGGAGCTCTCTTGAGCTTGCACGCCAACGGCCACGGCCAGGAGGGAGGCCAAGGCTGTTTGGTTAATGACACGCATATCACGAACGATGGAATCATAACAGATAGATGTGATCAGTTTGACAGCTGGCAAGACACTCAAGTGCGGGGTCTGCAGAAGCCTATCACTGACCCTTGAAAGTCCCGTACATCTTGTAGGTTCACTGAGTTACCGTAAGGCTATGACGGATAAGTTGGGTTAAGAAAAAAGAAATGGATGTTGTTTGTCGAGTTGTTGTTGTTGTTGTTGTTGCTGCTGAGATCTTCAGTTGAATGATGAAGGAATGTATCAGTTGTGTTGGTGGGGGTTATAGTCCGGAGACTATATTTAAGGTGTTGTTGTTCAGAGAAGGGAAAGTGTGGGGAATAAAATCCGGTTGGTTTAATAAGAGAAAAAAAAATGCGAAGGAGGTCCGAGCGCACCCAACAAAGGAAAAAGGCCTAGAAGGAGCACGGACGTATGATATGGTTCTAAAATGGAATGCGGATGAATGGGGGAAGACAGGGAGTGGTTGTTGTGACTCAAGCGGATCGAAAGAGAACAAACAAGGGATCGGGGTCTTCGAGGGAAGCGAGAGAAAAGGGCCGGGCTTGGTGGGTGGGTGTGACGCAGCACTCACGAACAGACAGCTGGAGTTGAATGCACCCCGTGCCTGGTGACAGTCGCAGACTACTTTAATCAAGCTTTCTTTTCTTCTTTCCTTTTTGTAATTCAAGTTGAAAGGATTTTCCCGAGATCGAAGTGGTTTTAAGACCTGGGGGCTTCAAAGAAACACGGTTGCAGAGAGGACGCTGGGGCGAGTTTGGCGAGGCGAAAGCCAAGCACTTAACCCTATGAGTTGTACTTCGACTGTCTAATACAAGATGTCAGAAGGAGACAGTCGGAGTTCCAGCGAGAGAAAGAGGATTGAACAGGGAGGGTCTGTGTGTTTTTGATAGGGTTTTTTTGGAGGAGGCTTTGATGTTGTTATAAGGAGGAAATGGGCGCGGAAACCGCTGATTATAGGGAGTCGAGAGTCGAAGCGAACAAAAAAAAGAAGTTTTATTGATCAGACGATGGGCTTGATCAAGAGCCAGAAACCAGTGCTGGCCGTCTGGGTCGGGAGCAGTAAAAGTAGATTGGTTCTGATTTGGGCTCACAGGAATCCCCCGGCCAGCTGGCACCAAGAAGCGAAGAAGAAGAAGCGAATCAAGAGTCGCCGGCAACGGTCGACAGGCGATGTTGCGCAAGTCCCAGCTGGGATCTTCCACACACCACATCCTCATCGATTCCTCATAAATCGATTGGTTGGTTGTGGTTGTTGGCTGATGACGATGTGCTTTGCAATGGTCATGTATCGATCTGCCTTCACACCGTTTCATGATCAGTCTCCACTCAAAAGTGCCATATCAAAACGGATTGCTGTCGGCCATCTTTCAGGATTCATTCTCTCAGCAACGAATACAGGGATGGAGTACATCGTAGCTGTCTTCTTCTTAATTTCAAACAAGGGCGGGTATTCTTTTGGGCTCACACAGCTCCAGTTGGCCAAGGAAGGAAACATCCGGAGGAGTGTTCTGGGCAACCCATTAAGCTGACTTGAGTGTTCATTGTTAGGCAACTCGGAGAAATTTCCAGCCATCAAGCTACTTAATTCCTTACAACTTAACGATCGCACTGATCATCCTGCCACTCCCTCCGGCCACCTGCGGATTGAAGCACCAGCATCGCTAACTTAACCATTTAATTCCCGTTGATTGAGCTCGGCAATCCAATCAGTTGTAGCGGGCTTCTGCCACAACTGATCAACATCAATCAGTTGAAATCGCCTCAGACGATAGATGTGATTCAATCATGTTTTTTATCTGTTGGATCTGCTTAACCCAACCTTCACTTTCAACTCGGATTTTTTCGTTTCGCTGGTGGCAGCTACATATTTATTTTTACAAGGCTGGATTATGTATGAGATTGAAGTGAGTTTTCAACCAACATGATCAAGCCTGTTTAGGCCGGTTCACCTCTGAAGTTCATTAAGGCAACTTTTAGCACTTTTATTATGGATAGAATTTTATTGATTTTGTCAAATCTCATGAATCATCAGGTTTGGAGGAATTTCAGAGTTTTGACAAACTTGGAAAATGTTTATAATGAGAAATGCCATAAAACTTGCTCCAAAGTTCAAACGTGAACCGTCCTAATAATAAATGGGAGTGACAACTGACCAGCTGAAAGCAACTTTGCATTCCTTCTCATCACTACAACCCAATAGATATTGATCACTCCTGCTGGGTTTTGGCAGCCTTGCACTAGAGGCCTATAAAATTAAGAATCCATCCTGGCCAAGCAACACCAAATTAGAGTTTAATTGGGTTGGCTTCTCCTGTAGGTTTTTTTTTCCTATTTGAGCTGACCCATGGACCTGAGTATGTAGGGCCAAATCATGGATTCCTTCTCAATTTTTTGAGTGAAAGTTGAACAGCTATATTCCCACTGATTGTAAGTTTCTAAAGCCTGGCACAACAACATCAAAAATCCCCCCCCCCCTTTGGTCAGCATGACCTTGCCCCCCAAAGACAGTGCTTTGTGGATTCTCCACAAGTGGATGTTGATGGGGCTTCCTCAAATGCTGTCTATTTGAAAAGAGCTTCCAGGTGATGGAAACCTATCACAGCAGCTTGATGTTGGCTTTGCAAGTCCAGAGAAATCGGGAACAGTGGGGAATAATGCATAAATTATTATTTTTTCTGCAGAAATGCTTACATAATCTATCCCTTGTCATTTTTTTTCACAGAAATGCTTACATAATCCATCCCTCAATTCATGTATGAAGACAAATTTAATCATGTAATTTATGTTTATGCATTTATGGTCCAATTTTGAATTCCATTAAGGGTCAGTAGTATGTACCATTGGGAACAAAAATTCAATTTTTCAGAATTGGTCTTACTCAAAGTTATATTTCATCAAAATTGACCACATCACCAGAAGCAAGTTGTTGGCATACATAACAGTTAAGGAATTTGATTTTTTAATCTCTTCACTTTTTATCAAATTCTGTGCAGAACTTGAAGGCAGAAAAAATGCCAATTTTCCAAAATTGAATCCCATGGTACTGGCCCTAATGTTTGTTCATTGCCAGAATACCCCTGTCCTTATCTGGTATCCTCATAGCTCACTGCCTTCCTGTCAGCCAAAGAGGTTGGGTTGACCTAGGGTTTCCAACCCAAACCCTGAAAATCCGGTGCAACCTACTCAACCCGTGGACCGGATCAGGGTTTGGGATTGGCCTTGGAAGATCCGGTGTCCAGTTGGATGCTGAAAACCCTCAGTCCTTGCAGATTTTGACAGGGAATCCCTGGGTGAACCCAGGATGGGGGCAGCTGTTCACTGTGAATTTTCCTTCTCCCTTCATTTGGTGTAATACAGTGAAATATGCATAAGAAGAATGATGTCAAAGATCCAGAAGAACCTGGTGCAGGGCCGCATCCCCACCAGAAACAGTGAGCCAAGACTTTACATTACAATATATGGCCCCATATATGCAATGTATTGGCCAACTTTCTTTACGTTTTTTTTGTTATTTTTATCAGAAGATTATTGTGGTTTTGATGTTTTACAATGCAATTCAGGCTGTATTGACCAAAAACAGCCTGTATTGGCTGTTATCAAGGGTTTTTTTCCAGTCCTCAATTTTATTTCTATAGACCATCAACAGAGTCAATACACCCATGGCTGTGCAAAATTTTTGTTACTTTAAAATGCATTACCAATAAAAACATTGCTATTGGCCCACAGTTGCCTCTGGGCTTACATGCAGGAGTTGTGAAACCCAGATCTGAGGCAGACGCCAGGTTGGAACCCTAGTTTGACCCATGCCCAACCCAGACCTAACTGCTCATGAATGGGTTTGGGTAACTCATCTCAGACCTTGTCACATACTAAGATTTACCCTGGCTTGGTTTTAGGGAACCATCCCTTGTCCCAAATTAGATCCATTTATGTAAATGCATCCCTATAAACCACCACACCTCAACAACAATCATACATAATACCAAGTTACTCATTCATCAACACTGGGTGGCTACTTTACACTGTGCTATCTGCATTATCCCAGTGATGTGATGGACTTGATTCTTTCCCTGATGAATTAATGTTATCTGTTGTGGGAAATTTTTCTTTTTGTCTGTGGGAAATGGATAAATTAATACATTATCACATAATCCAGAGGCAAAGAAACCCTAAACACATGTCAAGCAGCAAAATTCTCTATTTTTTGGGCTTTGGCAGCAACATGTGACACAAATTTCCAAAAAGAATAATACATCTTACCATTTTGTTTTATAAGAAAACAAAAGCTATGCAAGCTGTTGATAGTTCAATGAACAGTAAAAACTTACCAAGACAAAATGGATAGTGTAATGTGCAAAAAAAAATCCAAATTCATTGCAAGGGAAGTGATGATATTGAGTGAAAAATCACTACTTCATCTTTATGATACCATTACAGGTAATATAATTACCCAATGTTGATTCTTTCCAACCAGAAAATGAACTTCTTATAAGATTTGCCCAGGAAATTCTGTAGCTCAATATCTGTTAAGAAGCTTGGAGTCAAGTAATCATACCAAAGTGGTGGAATTAATCCTGGGAATACCCTGTTTCATTGCTGTGCTCCAGCACTGTTTAGCAAAAAAATAAAAAATCTGGTGCATACTAGGAACAGTTGTGGCTGCTGCACTGCAATTTTTTTTTTTGCCTGGTGGTTTTTATGGCTCAAATTGTGGGGCAGCAGAGTGTAGTGCAGATTGATAATTGATAGCACTTCAAAAGAGGGGGAGGGAATACTATATTGCAAAGACTTTTTGGCTAAACAGCACAGCAACATCAATGTAGTATATATAGGGTGTTGGAAAAGAAAGGTTCTGAAAAGGGGGCCAATTATCCCCTCTACTCTGTTGAGCACTTCAAGCTTATTACCTGAAAAAACAGCTGTGGGCTCAGGTGGATGGGGTATACAGCCCTGTTTTCCTAGGACTCATGAGTTGGGATGTCCATTACAGAGGCCTTGGAGTGAACCCCAGGATCACCCTGCAGCATGGGGCAAGTTGAATTGAAGAAAGCTGGGAGATGTGCTCTGTGTCTGAAAGTTTCTTGTGAGTTGATCTTCAATGCAACCTGATGATGATGTGTTTCCCTCCTGTCTGCTTTGTAAGGATATTTTCGGAGGGTGGTCATCACATAGTGGGTGCTCTTATTGAGACAATGTTTGATTGAGCGGGATGTGTGATTTGATTAGGATTGTTGTGATATGGTGCATAGAGATAAGATTAATCTGTGTGTCTGTAGATAGATAGATCTCTTGAGCTCTAATTCTGAAAACAATTAGAAGTTGTATATTTTGGGACTGGAAATGGATAAGTATCTTCAAGGGGATTGATTGATTGATTGTTTGGACGAGAAGATGAGACAGTACTGCAAGTGGTGGTGATGATGGTGATGGGGATGGCACCCCTATCGACTAGATCCCCCCTACTGCATAGCCCAAGTCGAGGCGCTTTTCAGGCTATGTAGGGGGGGTATACTCCCCTCGCAATCCCTCGCCCGCGCCCCTTACATTGCGGCTCATTTACATATGGGCCTTCGAACTTTGCCGTCTTGGAAGTTGGGACGTCTAAATGCGGCTGCGGATGCTCGGCCGCTCCGGGACTGACGGAACCTCAGTCCCGGTACCGGTTGGATCATCAACAAACCGAACGATCAACGCAGGAACCGAAAGATCAACAACCCAGGCACCCCTACTCCACCCATCATTGTAAGTCCCACCGATCAGCAACCCCGAGTCCATCTGCATCACCTGAATACCCTCTTAATTAACACCCAACTACCTTTCATTGTTAAGGACGGCCAATCGTTTCTTCCGCGAGTTCCGATTGTTTCTTCTGCGAGTTGGCCGATCTTTCTTCTGCGAGTTGCCCATCAGCATGCCTCCTCACTCTGCCGTTCACATCTTACCACCTCAGTATCAAGACGGTCGTTTCCAACCAAACACGGCCGATCGTTCTCAGGATTCTGGAATCTCTCATAACAGTGCCGGTGTCCTTGTCATAGACAACCTCGAAAATGCTGCCAACCAAATTTTGACTCAGCCCAACGCGACTGTTCCAGCTCCACCACCAACTTCCTCCTCTCTAACCCAGCCATTGTCAAAAAAGAGAAAACTGATTGCTCAGTCCGATGAGTCTGCTCTACCCCAATCGGTCGAATGTCTCCTCAAGAAGACCTACAACGAACTGGTTGTCTGTGCACAGGAGAACTCAAAGGGATCAATGTCCCAAGCTGATCGCGACTTCTTTCTTAATTTCTATGAGGAGCAAAGGCAGCTCCTGGCAATCAAGGCCATTGAACGACAGATCTCTATGCCCATGGTTGATGCATTCTTGTAAGTTGTCACCCCTCGCTTGCCTTCTCTCCTACTATTTCTTGGCTGACAATCCAATCAATTTAGGGGAAAGCGACTTGCCCTCAAAGGGCCCAACTGCTGGAACCAGTTCCTTAAGACCCCTGAAGCTCGTGCAATATTCAAAGAAGGTGTGTAATTACTGATATTGATCTACTCCAGTTCATTTGATTTTTCATACTGGCTGGTTGCTGACCCAGAGCTCTTCACCTTTGACCTACATAACAGCTGGTGGTGTTGATGATGACTCAGCAATGAAGAAGGTCTCTGAGTTGTGGCACAAGCTCACTCCCGAGGAGAAGAAATCGTTCGCCAAGCATGTTGACGATGGGTTGACCGATGAGGAACGAGCTCTTGATGATGATCCGTCAGGCGAGTTGGACCTTCCTGTTGAGACTGATATCCCAATTGCATCAGGACAGGTGGGCATCAGAGCTACAAGTATACGCAGCGAGGCATCATTCCGGCAGGACTACCAGCACGTACAAGCATTTGTCAACCAGGTTGTTGAAAATGTAAGTCCCTCCCTCATTCAGATCCATCTGGTGCACCTAGTTGACAATCCCAAATTAGGCTACTCATGTCGCTGCAACCTACAATGCTCAATTCGTCGTTTTTGCGGTATCAAACCACCTCGGCCCTAGCACATATCAAATCTCCCAATGTACCCCAGGCGCCAGGGTCTTCCTCCAGTATGCGAAGGATGTTGATGCCGAACATCACTATGCGGCTCGATTCCAATCACACATCACTGGCTACAGTGTTGCACAGATTGCTGACTTGGCAAATAAGGTCCCAAAACGTGGGGGTAAGAACCCAATGCATGATGTCCCTGTAACCACCCGCATGCGTCAATTAATTCGTGAGTTTTTAACCATGCTGTTTCCTTTTCTATTGATTAGTTTTGTTGCTGAAATACCACCAACACCCCCCTCAGAGGCTAAAACAGAAGGTGTTATCAAAAAGTGGCATTGGACCGATACCCACGAAAAACTTGCCAAGGCTGGCTTCCGTCTGGTGGTGGCGCCGTCGGCTAGGATCAACCCCAACTGGATCACCCAGCCAAGTCGACAGCTCCTGGTTGATCAAGTGGGATTGCTTCACTTAGACTTGGACGACAAACAGATCGATATTGTACGTGTTCCATGGAAGCAAGCTGGAGCAACTGATCGGTCCAGCCCCAGAAGCTCTCTTGGCAGTACCCCAGAAGGTACTCCACCTCCGGCACACAGCATCAATCATCAACAAGGTACTGATCAGTAGCTAGCTGCCTCACTACTCTTGCACTCTGGTGACCAGATGATAATGCCACTTGGCAAATTTCCCCTTGCCTCTGGTCTATTTCTTGCTGTTGGCTTGTCTCTTCCTAGTATTTTTACTTGCTGCTGGAATCTCTTGCTTTTGACCTTGTCTATTCCATGTCTTTTCACTTGCTGGTGGAATGTCTTACTTTCCATTCCTATTACTTTTGACATCTATTTTCCTATTACTTTTGACACCTATTGACTTTCCTGTTCTTCACTTGCTTAATTATCAAGTTCAAACAAAATGAATTGATTTGATACAGAAATGCATGCTCAAATATGAGAGTGATACTTAACAAGACAAGAGCCAGTCTGATCCTGTGGGCAGATGTGAAAGAGAGAGAGCAAGTGTTTAAAAACTTCATGACCATGGGTTTTTTTCATGGAAGACATGTAAATCCTAGAGGAAACTTGGGCAAACAGGAGGACACACTGAAATGACCAGTCTTTCATGAATAAAATAATAATCATCAAGTGCACATTTGCCCTATTATGAAAATCTGGGTTGAGTTATACTATGTTAGGTAAGTGTATGCAGTCAGAGCTCCCATACTACTTAATTTTCCAACAGCATAACCTCCTATTCCACACACTGGGTTTAGTCCACCATAGTTGGTGCAGGCAAAATTGTTAAATTTTGGTGGAGAGCCACATAATGACTGTGGCATGCACATAACTGTTTAGGAAAAAATATGGAACATTATATTCCTAAGTTCATAGATTTCTTGTAAAGAAACTGGACAGTAAAAGTCCTTTTCCAAATAGATAAGATCATCCACCAACCAGTGACCACTTACAACTAGACAAACTTCATCCTCAAGCTCAACAAATTTTTTGAGTGTTTTTACAGCAATTGAAAGCAAATCAATCCTTTGTTCATATTTCATGTGTTGTAAATCCACTCTGCTTGTCTCAGCAACTGAATGCTTAAGATTTCCTACCAATTGCATGCCAGTTTAGACTCTACTTTACCTACCCAGAGGGCCAGAATAATCTGGTCACAAAAATTGTGGACAACTGAACAGACTTTTGAAATGATTAAAGCACAAGAGCATGATTTCAAAAGCCAATTTTGACAGCAATGTTTACTGTGAGTCCATCAACAAATGAAATGGAAAGCATCGTTTCCAATGTGCTCAAATTGAATAAGCTCTATGCTTTCCTTGGCTAATACCTATCCTATCAGAACAATAAGAAAAAAAACTACCCCTCAAACCATATAATCATATTCCAATACCACACAACTCCTGTAATGACACAACAAATCCTTTTCACCGAGGTGTATGCAGTTAAAGAGGTCTGGCTGTATGTATGATTCCAAAGGCAGGAAAGATCTTCACGTAGGAATCATGGATATAGATCCAGTATAACTCAATCCACATGTGCAATCCCACTGTTTGCAAAGGGCTTGGCAGGTTTGTCCTAGTGCCAATTCAATCATTCCAAAGCATGGGAATCTTTTTAATACCACTGTTGAAAATCTTAATATTATAACTCACCCTACATGTGCACTTTGGAAATATTGTACTTGTATGGAAAACTTAGCACATGTTGGTTGAGTTTTACTAGGGCTGATTGAATGATTCCCAAAAATGAAAACATATTCAGTGGATAAAGTGAAAATATTCACTGAATATAATTTCAAAACATGGAATTGCACATGTGGACTGTTTACTGGAGCCAATTCCATGATTCCAAAGTGAACATCTGACCGTGCTTTGGAATCATAAAGGTAGTATAACTCTTTTTTAATAACCCTATTGAACATATTGCCATCCTTTGGGATCAACCTAGTTATGATGAATTAGCAGATGTTGGTTGAGTGGTACTAGGGATAGATAATCCAATGATTCCAAAGCATGGGAACATTTTCAATAAACCATATTGAGAATAGTTGCACACTTTGGAATCATTGATTCAGCTGTAGAATACATCAACTAACATGGGTAGTTTGTATATAGTGTATCTGAATGGAAAATTAGCACATGTTGGTTGAGTTATTTAAACTCAATGATTCCAAATCATAGAATTATTTTCAATAGGATTTTTATTTTCAATATTGAAAATATCACAATGTGCACGTTGGAAATAGTGCGCCTGATGGAAAAATTAGCACATGTTAGTTGAGTTATACTAAGGATATAATCCAATGATTCCAAAGCATAGGAACATGTTAGATATAAATGATGCAACATCAGATACAATATTTACAAAGCCAAGCTTTGGGACTACTGGCAATCACTTATATTTAACATTCCTTGGAATTCCTTGGAATTGGCTCTCTATTTCAGCTGAAACCTGGAATGTTAATCTTGTGGGTCAACTCCCCTCTACTCAGAATTTCACACACAACACATGTCCCATCAAAGTGATTTTGCACCACAAAAAAACACAAAGTAATCACAGGGTATGGACATCACAATCAAATTTTAATCTGACAAGTCTGATAATTATTTAAAATATGGAATTAAGACTAGATAATAGGAATCAATCTGTCATCCATCCCCATCCGGAATCAAATCACTGAACATGGTGTTAGACAAGACATTCTCCATTTGCTCAAGGTAGTCCTGTTGGCCATCCTCTTCTTCATCATCACTGGCATTGTCTGAGGGGTCAGGATGCAGAATATCTGGGACAAGTATTTCTTCTCCTGCTAGAACTTCATCACACATATCCCCAGGGATACCAGAGAAAAAGCCCATGCGGTGAAGCCAATGGATGTGACTTATCTGGAGATTCCAAGTGCTCCCAATCTCACCATCGTCATTCTGAGGAGAGGTATTCTGCAAGATCTCAAGGATCAGGGGGTCCCACGCAAGCTGCAAGTTGATGATTTTGATGTATGCTGAGTGAAGGATTAATCGAATTTGTTGAAGCCGAATGGATACGCTATCACTTTCCAGGAGGTATACATGTCCTACAAGGGGGCGGAGGGGTTCAGGGAGGTCTTCAACCGATTCTTGCTGGTCTTCTGAAATTCCGGAAATAAGTTTAATGTGGCTCTTGAGTTGCTTGTGGTGTTGAATGGCCCATCGCATTGCCCTCCTGGTTTCCCATCCAAGCCGTCGAACCTCTTCATTACCTCGATTCAAGCAGGCCAGGTGGCGGATGCCATGCTGGGTGGTCTGGTCAATTGCCCATGCATCGTTTGCCTCGGAAAACAGGCCGTCATTCCAGAATGGGTGGTCGGATGGTAACTCCAAGAGATCATCATACCCTATATAGGGTGGAGCTGGCCTTAAGGGATAGGTGGCAACATATCTATCAACCTGTTTTGTGTAAGATTCCAATAAGGTCTGTAGCTGGGCGGAGTGTTTCTGAAGTAGGGCCATGAGCTTTTGCTGGCCGCGGGTCCCTGGTTATATGTACAGCTTGTTCAATTAGTGGATCAACAAGAATAATCAAGGCCAGAAACTAACCAAGAGAACTTGTTTCTCCTGCACGACGAACTCGTACCAATGGCTGCTTCTCCTCAAGTAAAGCTAAGAATTTCTTTCGGAGCTCAGATTTGTTGTACCAAATCATCATTAACAGGTCTCGTTCCTCTGCTGTTTGATTTCAAAACAAAATAGCCATTCAGTTTTCACTTGTTGATAATGAAATTTGTAGAATTTGTAGCAGGAAGACTTACCAGTCTCAATGCCACTCTGTTCAATACCACTCACAGCAGTAATAACTTCTTCCCCAATCAATGCCCGCTGGTTGGCAATCTTCTGTGTGAGAGTAGCACATGTTCTGGCTCGAGCAAGTGCTTGTTCGGGTGTAAGTGTGATGTTCCTCCTGTGATGTGACTGTGCTCAGTGATGAGAGTATGCCTAAGAACAACATTGAAGAACTTACCATGCAGTGTCAAGGGCTTCTTCAAGGCATAAAAGCCGTCCAAGTTCAACCTTTTGTTTCTTCACACTGAGATTGGTCCGTCGATGATATTGCTGCTCCAGCTGCCATTGCTCCTCAAAGAATTGGTTGGAGTAGTTATGGCCCGGTAAAAACGTATTGGGTTTAGTGTGAAGTTTACTTAGCGCAATCGTGGAGGCCCTCACTGCATCTGTAGCATAAACTAATTTTTCAAAAAGCCATTTGGCTTTTGGAAAATTAAGTGCGATTGGTTTGAGATTGATTAAAATATTTCCTGGATGATTGGAGTTACTCACCTGAAAGTTCCAAGAGATGTTCAGTATAGTAATCAGCCCGGGCCTGTAGTCGATTGAGCCGATGTAGTCGAGTTGAGACACGGAGTGGTGATACAAGAGGAGACAAAAAAGACCAGAGCCGCTCAAGCCCTTCGCCATCTGATAATCCCCACCAGGAGTTCAAACAAGGGTTGTACTTCACTTGACACGACCATTCATGTACAAATGCATGGAATACCGATGTTCCAAAGAGCAGGTCGTCAATCCGGTCATTTAATAAGCCCCTCTGCACAACCATCATGTTAGATTAGACACTTCCAAGCAATCTTAGTCACTGCTGTCTCAACTGACCTTCCTGACATGTGCCTCCAGATGACACCCAAGGTCGTAAAGAATACCAAATTTGTGTCCGGGGAAGTCAACAATGATATTGCGGATGATTGAAACAGGATAATATAGCCTACAGATGCCAATGTACACTGTTAGCTGTGATTTTGGGATGGTGAAATACAGAACTTACTTTTCACCTGTTTGGAATATGTTGGCAAAGAGCAAAGGAGCATCGTGTCGACATGCACTTGCAAATAAACCATTATCATCACACTTCTCCCAGCTTGTTCCACTTCGAGTGTCATTGGCGGCTTTATGTGAGTCGGAACATGGGGGCTAGAATATAATGTTAGTAAGTAGATGTCCTAACCAATGAGAGAACTCACTTACATCAATTCCTACAGCGGCAGTCTCAGTAGATTCCACTGCTGCAGCATCAGTATTAAGCCAGGATGGTGGAAGAAAATCTAGAGGATACTGATCCTCGCTAGGATTGTCTTTACTGGCATGAGCATAGTGCCGTTGTTGAAAATTGCCATCCATAGCAATGATCACGTCCGGTTCATGTGGATTAGATTTGTTCTCATGTAAGCTGGGTCCAAAACATCGGGGGCACTTGTTGGCCCACATATCAACTTTGGAGAGCTGTAATCCATCATTGAGAAGCTTCTTTGTGCGTACAAGGATGCGGGAGTAGAGGTCAACACTGAAGGTGAAAGGAATGCGAAGGTTTCGCTTTCGGTGTTTGTTGCCACGCGTGAACATTGCTTGATTGCTCCGAGGTTCTAAAAAAGCAGCAAGAGCTTTCACAAAAGCTGAAGAGGATACAACAGATGATTGCCACAAGAAATGGTGGAATTGGATTAGTCGGATGGAGAAAGCTGTTCGTGGTCGATCGGCAGAGGAGGCAAAATATCCATAGTGTATCAATCTCACTGCATCAGGCATGCATTTGCAGAAGGAAATGGAGATGCTTGGACGTTGAACTGAGAAAATTGGGCTGGTTAGTTTTTGGTGATGCTGATATCATGAATTATAAGTAAAGTGACACACAAAGGATATCAAGTAGATCAACCCGTCGGTCTTGGATGTCGTTTGGAGGACAGGTACATAGCCCAGGCGGTAATTCAAAAGATAGGGGAGGACACGTCCAGTTGGAGGTTTTGCGTTGACACTGCAAGTAAGCAGATGTGACTTGGGTCTCCAGTCGAGTCCATTGCGCGTTTATGATCTCTCGACGATCAGCGTAATGTCGCATTCGATGATAGCTTGCATGAGCTAAGAGAGGGTCCTCGTCTTCCCAATTCGGGTCCTCGTTCTCCCAATGCGGGTCCTGGTAGGTGTTGTCAGGTATTGGGTGGTTAGCTGGATCCACCGTGTTGGATGTACTATTGCGTGCCCCTTCGGTTGGTGTAGCCTGAGGGGTCGGAGCTTCTGGAATGACTCCCAGCCGCTGACCATCGCGGACGTTCCGGTTGAAACGAGCTTCCTCCTCAACTTCGCGCTGGGTCGGTGTCCTCCGGACTCGAGGCCGCCTGGGTGGTCCGTTGTTAACCACGGTTACGATCCTGCTGCCAGTTGCGCGGACCCGAGGTGTGCGAACCATGCTAGAAGTGGCGATATCGTCCTCGGCGCAGGTGATGATGTCGTCCTCGGCGCACAGGTAGGATTGTCCCCAGTGAGCATGAAAGAGCTCGATAATCGGCGGGTTTTGGGCCGGGATGAAGACTGCCTTGAACCTTGACTCCCCACGGGTCAACCTGTCGGATTTTCCACGAGGGATCCGACCGGCGGATCGGAACCCGTGAAAACCGGCTGGACAGACAGTTACATATGTATCAGCTGCAATGTAAGGGGCGCGGGCGAGGGATTGCGAGGGGAGTATACCCCCCCTACATAGCCTGAAAAGCGCCTCGACTTGGGCTATGCAGTAGGGGGGATCTAGTCGATAGGGGTGGGGGATGGGGAGTCAGTCCGACTGAGCGCCTGACTCAAAGCGGCCGATGTTTTCAATCACCTCCTTCCATCACTTCCCACCCAGAACCAACACCACCAACCCAAGCACCAAACCATGTCATCACCACCAACAGTCATACTCGACTCATCATCATCATCATCATCAGACTCATCAGAACACTCGGATCACCCCAGCCCAGCGAAATCCAGCAAGAAGCTCAGCAAGAGGAAGAAGAACCAGAAGAACAACAACAAGCCAAAGGATAAATTTCTCATCACTGCCGACCAATGGACTCCGATCGCCGGCCCATCAGTCCCCAAACCGAACAAACACCAGAACAATCATCCTCAAGAGACACTCAGCCTAATCGAGCCAACCACCAATACCAAACTAGTCAGCCTCTTCGAACCAAGCACCTCATCATCATCAGCAAGAACAGCAACAGAAGATCTACTACTGGCTCAATCAAATGACCAAGAAGCCCAACAACCCATCCTGGTCACAGTCGAACAGAGAGTATCTCTCTACGTCAACTGCTTCGAAGAGATGCTCAACATTGTCCTCAGACACGAAGATTTCCTCTTCCTACCATCAGAGCTGAGGATACTTAATAGCTGGCAAGCACTCCCTCGTAAGAATTAGCTTTTATCTTTTTATTCCCAAGTGACACAACTTTCCAATGAGAAAGAAGAAATAAATAAAAAATTAAGCATACCTAAGGTCTAAAATGTATGTAATTGTTGTATATTTAATAGGTTCATCAAAATATTTATTCGTAAGACTCTTCATGCGTAAACACGAAAATTGGTTCAGACTAGACAAGCTGAGCAGCTACGAAGCCGACGTAGGAGATCTCGGACAAACTTGTGGTTCGCTATGCAAGCCAGTAGACGAGCTGTTGGCAGAGCTGAAGAGGATGGATCCACTGATCACGTTACTAAACAACAACCATTGTCGAGGAGGGATGGAGAATATTCAATATCCGGGCGACCAGTCGGCGAGCCATCTGGGTGGACCGCTGAATATGTCTACCCAACTCGAAGAATTCAATCATCAATATGCCACTGGCGGAGGGTTGAATGATATCCATTATGCTGGACATCAACTCGATAATTACAGCCCTTGTCAAGGAACCAATGATCCTCAATACCCTGCACACCAACTGAATCCATACAGCCCTTCTCAAGCATCAAACAACCTTCCATACGCTGGATATCAGATCAACACCTATAACAGCCCTGGTCTAGGAATAAACGATGTCCAATACACGGGTCATCAACTGAATCTCTTCAACCCTTCCGAAGGAATTAGCAATGCTCACTACACCGGTCAACAGCACGGAATCCCCGTTACTGGACTCTTCAGACACAGTCCTCCAGCCAAGCTCGATCAACTGAATCCATATAACAACCCGTATGAAGCAATAAATAATGTTCAATTTACAAGTCAAGCGCACGGTACCCATCTCGATGGATTTCTTAAGTCTAGCCCGCCAGCCAAATTCGATCCACTCAATCTTCCCCAACATAGCCCGAATGGAGGGATGGATGATGCCCAGTACTCTGGTGAACAGCCCGGGATCTCTTTTAGCGACTTAATTCGATCCAGCCCAGCAGTCGAGCCCGATCATCTAACTACCTTTAACCATTACGAAGGAATGAATGATATCCAGTGGGCTACCCAACAGCCTGTCTCTCTTGATGAATTGCTACAGTGTAATACGCATGATCTGGCCATGCTCGAAGGGCCCTACTCTGGCGCGCTGCAGGATACTGAACTCGCTTACCAGGACCAACTCAAATCTTTCAATCAACTTTCTCCCACCATTCCTTCAAGAATCCAACTAGGTGACCCCAGTACTTGTCCCGATTCACCAGCCGATTCCCTCAAGACGGACGAAGGAATCATCGCGCAACTAAATGTGTTTCTGGACCAAACAAGCCGCACAAAAAACTGGACCCAACCACCGGCCAACACACTGTCGAGCCATCTGGACCAAGCTCCAAATAGCTGCAGAGTAGATGAGTCGCCAGGGCCGGAATGGATACCGTTTGATGTGAATGATTCCCAAACTCTCCCAGACATCCCACCCATTCCCCCGCCGGTAGATATCCATCCTACCAGCATCACCAAGCCGCCGGATCTGGTCTCCACCACACCATCCGTCAGTCCCTCACGATCACAGCCAGTGGAGAGCGGCAAAGATCCCGAACTGAGTAGCTTTGCGACCATGACTTCTTCTGTTGATTATGGTCTCCTCAACACCGATGACTTGTTCGCATGTATGAATCTCGATGAGTTGAAGAGTTTCGCTAAGAAACTTAATGCAAATCCACACACCACTAGAGATATGATCATCCTTAGTATCAAAGCTGTCACCTGCAAACAATCTACCCTCTTCGGCGCTCCCTCTACTAACAAGGGCAAACAGAGAAAACAACTTTCACTCAAGTTTACTAAGAAAGGCTTGAAAGAAAGTCAGATTTTGTCTCTCAACTCAAGAAGTATGTACGCTTCTCTATTTCTTACTTATAATCTTCTGGTTTTGCTCATAAACTGCTGTTTTTTTTTTTTAATGTCATATTGTCTCCAACAACAACAACAAAAAGTTTTGAAAATCATAGGGCCTTCGATCAAATTAAGACCCAAAGTATGTTCATTATTCAAACGACTTCATTTAATATTTTACCGGTCGACGACGATCACGGAGAAGACGATGACGGCGTCGATGTTAGCGCAGATGCGGATTCGAAACTACCCAACCTACACGGTGATCCGAACGAATTCGATTTTTGAGTCCAGAGAGCAACTGATGAAGTACGAAGAGGCGCTCGAGCTGGAGAAGCAGTTTGATGATCTGATGGTCAATGAACGTCGGCCATGGAATGAGGATGACCAGGGCAAAGCTCGTCGTCAAGAAGCTAAGACTGTCAGGCTGAAGAAGGCCTTGGACGTCTTCGAATCCGCTTGGCTACTGTGGCAAGCGGTCATTCTCGAAGAAAATGATCGCCTCGATAATCGGCTTAACCAAGGTCTCATCTACCCTGAATACGATCGATCTAATTATTATAAGAGGCGTTTCCAGCCAGGTTAGAGAGATATTCTCAGTTGGTCAGAGAAATTTAAGCTGACCTATCTTTTTTTTTTCTTCGAACCTCTGGTGCCCAATAGGCTGGCCGCTAACACGAATCTTGCAAAAAGGGCTAGCGATCCTAGCACGGTTCAAGGAGTACGAGCGAGAAGTAAAAGTGTTGGAAGCGTTGATCCAGCAGCCCCATTTCCGACGAGGGAAGCGGGGACAATGGTACGACCGATTGGCACTGGTGTTGATGACCCATCTCGCGCGGGACGAGTCGTTGACGGTGGAGCAGCGACAGATACACATGAACTCGGCCCTGTATACCTGCGAGCATGGCTTGAAAGACCCGGATACCCACCAGCTCTATCGGTTCAGTCTCGGCCGAAGACTGGCCAGACTCCAGGCGATCGGCGGCGCACTCCAGCATCCTTGGATGGACTCGCTGGAGACCCCTCAAGTAGAGGACTGGAAAGCCGCGCGGCGGACAACCATCCTTCGGACCATGGACAACGACGACCGCGAAAGCGGCGTCAAATCTCGCTGGATGAGTATCCTCGATAACACCCTCCTATCCGTCGAGGAAATCGCATTGGAACATTATCTGAGCGATCATTCCCATTGGCGTGGGTTTCATTCGGAAACTGGGATCTTGAAAATGATTGTAAGTCTAAGTCCTTTTTTTTATATTCATCATCTCATCTTTCGCTCACTCTAGCCCTCCTCTCTGTCTCTCTTTTTTTTTTGCGGGGTCAGTTTTCGTTGGTTTTTTGGGACGTTATCTTTGCCCCCGTCCCTGGGGCATTTGAGACCGCATTCCAAACCGCTCCTCTAGATATTGCTACCGATGCATTTGCGATCGGTAAGTGCCATCCCTACATCCTAACTTTGATTGTTTATTTGTCTGTCTTTAAAAAACAATCCCCACTGATGACATTCTCTTTACAAACCAAAATGAAATGAAAACAAACATGACACAGTACGACGTCCATTGATAGATGAAAGGATGGGAAAGATAGAAAGAGGCGGGAGTGAGGAAATTGTGAACAGGATGAGAGAGACGTATGTGCGCGAAAGCGGGAGGAAAACCTGGTCGATCGGCATCAGTCAGGGCTATTGGGAACGTTACCGGCTCGAAGATCTCGAGCAAATCGTCCGCTGTTTCTCAGCCCAAGCCTTCATCCTGATCTCTAATGCGCTTTTCGAGGATTACAGCGTCTGGTCTGCTGGCGCTCCCGATCTTTGGTTCGTCCTCCTTCCCCATCTCTATCATCCCTCCTCTATAACTCTTGTCCTCCCCTCACCCCTTCTGTCAACTAATTCTTTTTTTTTTTTCGCTCATCCATTGCCAAAAAAAAAAAAAATTGTTGGGGGACTTCTAGTCTTTGGGACCCGTCTCAAATGCGTTGCAAGTTTGTCGAAGTTAAAGGCCCGGGCGATAAGCTATCCGAGCAACAAAAAGTAAAGTTTTTCAAGCCCTTCTTTCTTTCCTTTTTTCTCTCTGGCCCTCTCTTCCAAGTCTTCAAGTCAGAGGGAAGAGGGAGAACAACTCCACACCGGGTCGCAGCTCGATTTGTTGTCTTGTCACAAGAGTTTAGACTGATCCATTGGCCTCTTTTTGCTTCTCTAATTGGCTCGGGTTGTCTCGATAGAACTGGCTCAGTTTGTTGTTGAAAGCCGAAGGTATCGAGGTCGAGATTTGTTCGGTCAAAGAAGATTAACACATCACTTTTTTTTCTCTTTCTCTCCTTCTCTCCTTGCCTCTATTTTTTTTTTATTTGTGAAATTTATTGATTATCTTTTTCTATTATATGTATGTCTCTCTTAGTTACTTATCCTCCTTCATTCTTTTTTTTGTGTTTTCTTTTCTTGTTCCCCAGCTTCTTCCTCTTCTCTTCCCCCCCCTAGCTTTATTTTATTATGTTTTTGGTTTGGTTTGTTCATCCAACTTTGGGGGAGCCACAAAAGCCGCATTTAACAACACCAAAAAACTAGCTGCATTCATTTTTTTCTTCTTCTTCTTGACATAACACACACACACACACAAAAAACTAGAAGCAAAACACATACACACACAAAACTTGTTAAAAATTATCTGTTATTTCTTCTGGATTTGTTGTCTTTTTGTTTTATGTTTTCAAGGATTGATTGTTACATGGAAACAAAGTGTGATTTGAACATATGAACTTTGATCAGTCTCAGTGATGTTTAATTTTGTCTGTTTTATAGCACTTTTGTCTGTTTTATAGCATTGTCTCTGTAGAATGTGTAAGTTTCTTTGGCACTATCACTAGAAACAGCAAATCCATATACATACCCACATATTTGACCAATGCAAATCCTAAAGAGTGATATATAACTGATGTTGCTTGTGTCTGTCACCAATCATGCAGATTTTTTCCTGGTTTCAGGTGGATTACATGATACACACATCTACATACATTATCATACACATATGCATTGCAACCATTCTTTTCTTGCGTTTCCCATGGAATTCAGGTTCCAAATGGGCCGTGTTTGGGTCAAAAAATGGTGACCAAACCTGCCCCACCAAATTATTGGGCAGGGCAGGTTGGGGCAAAATTGCAAAATGTTGACTGAACCTGGCCCAAATAAACAGTGCCTTGGGTTGGGTCGGGTCCGGGTCAACCCAGCAAATAATCAGTTATTTCTTTTCAATCAGGTATGTTGGTCACTCTCAAGCCAACCCAGATACAATCTGTCTTGATCATACCCGCCCCGCCAACCCGTCAGGTTGAATTTGGGTTGGGTCAATTTCCAACCCTAGCCTGCTCAAACCTGCCCCGCAACCTGGCGGGCCACGCGTACCCAGCGGTTCAACCCAACCCACTTGGATCCTGACTTTGAATACATGAAATATGCAGAGCTCAATTCTGATGGCCCAGTTTCCTTGACTAGTAGTAGTACTATCACAAGTTGTGACAAGCTGTTGGACTCGGATGTGTTGCTATGGAGTCTTGTCTTCTGTCAGTCAGCCTGAGCTGAAATCGATTGGTCTTCAATTATCACAGGTTTTATAGCTGTCTTCTTCCATGCGTCCAAGTCCTTGTGAAGAATTGGTCTCATAATTCTAAGCTCTATGACTGGCTTCTTCAGACCCATCCATGTAGAGATCTTCCTCATCATCTGTCTAAGTCTATATCCATGGCATTCCATTATATCTACCTGGCTGGCCCATCCTCATATACTCAATGAAATAGTGGCAAACATTGCCTGGGCTGTTTCCAATATCTGTTGAGTCTGTTTCTGAAGAATTCTTCCATATACTTCTGTACTCAAGTCCCTATCAGCCCAAACCCCTTTCTTACACATATTTTGTGATGTTTCAATGTGGAATATGGGTTAACAGATCCAATTTTTGGGTGACCCATCTTCCTATGGGCTACAAGGGGTTGAGGGTCTAAATGTAGGAGGTTGACTGCATGTCATGTTTTCCAAAAACAAAAGCAGAAGATGTTGTCTGAAGATTTTTAGTTTCTGTAATTTTTTTGTTTCTTGTCAGGAGATTCAAAGGAACCATATGCATTTCAAGTTTGATAGGAGAGGAGATGGTGATCAAGGTAAGCCTATGTATTGTCTACAATGGTGGTCCAATAAGATGTGCATTGCATGCAGTTTATTGTATTTTCAACACAATACAACAGAATTCTTCATCACTAGAAATGAACAAATACAGTATTTGAAACATTTGGTAACATGTCAATATGATACTAGGTATTCATTTTTGATAGCTAATAAAATACTGATGCATGTTCTTGGTCAAAAACAAAATCCCCCACACATCAGTTGTCAACTGTGAGAGGAATACTTATAATTTGTGATGACTGGGATGTGCTATTCATTGAAGAGATTAAGTAGTCCCTTCCATGAATAGCACAGACCAATCACCAAGAGTATTACTTTTGATCAATCTCCTCAACAAATTGGATGGTGAGTGTCCTCAATGATTGGAATAGATTGTTTTTTGACATGAGTCAATTGCTGTGCTCCATGAGGTGGTTTTCTGATTGCACTGTTTTAGTCATAATTTTTTGAATATGATAGTTTATTTTGTATTATCACATCACTTCTACCTAGCTTTAAAGCTCAAACAGGAAAGAAAAATAGGAAGTTTATTACTCATTCTTTGCAAACTCAAGTGAAGGGAAGGCCCATTGAGTGGAATAAATATGTTAACTGATTATTGGTAAATCTATACCCATCATGCTCACCAGTGTCTCACTGATTATTACATCTACATAATATGGAAGATATCAGGGCTTGACTGATTGCAACTTATCAGCACATTAAAATTCAAGTTTTTGGTGAGAAAAGAAGCACTTCATATTGAATTTGTTCATATTTAAATTTTGAACTTTTCAAAGGAACAATTGTAAATATGGAGATTTAAATCTAGAATCTAAACAACTAGAAGGATAAATCAGAAGAATTGTGCAAGATTTGGACCTCTTTTCAATTTCATGTTTAAATTTCCACTTGAGAATTTGAAAACTGTGTTGAAGAATATTTTGAATTTCTGATTTATTTTATCTTCTGATGAGAAAGCAAGTGCTTTCAAATCTGATCTATCCACCCTTTCAATCCAAAAGTAAACCAAATGCCAAATCAAAGCTGGAAGTTTGTGATTAAATCTTTTTGTGTTTTCTATTCTTGCATCTTTGTATTCAGGGGAAGTATCTCTGAACTCTTGAAATATATTTAGTGCATCTTTGAATAATTTCCTCTTATATTCATCAAATTCCAAGATTGGCTTGGAAGGAGGAAGAATAGTATCTACCATGTCAACATAAAATAAAAACATTTGAAGTAATTTTCTTCCATTTTCATGTGAAGGCATTTCATCTTGCAAAGCATCTTCAATTTTCATACCAGTCCTTCTTGACCAGAAGCTAAACCATTGTTCTTGATTAGACACCAATTCTGTGATCTTAATTCTGATCAGATCACGGGAGGAATTTCTTGGCTTGATATCTACAGCTTGTTCAGGTTGATAAATTCTTTCCAATGTATCAAAAGCTGCTGATGCATTTTCAAATTTCAATAAAATCTTCCCCTCTGTTCCTGCTGTTATTGACTTGAAAAATTCTTCAATCTTTTGCTTTGTACTTGGAGTCAGATCTTCAACCACAATCATACTTACATCAAAATCTAAACTTTTCAACTTTGGTTCATGATTCAAAAGAAACTCATTCTTCAAGTGCTTATTGAATTTACCCTGGGAAAAGGATTTTGTAGAATGTAATTTGCTTTTTTTGTTCAGATTTTGTTTCATTTTGGTTTTACTATCAGAAACAACTCTTGTCTGAAATGAATTTGGCCTTTCTTTGAGAGGTTTAGTGAGATCTATTCTTTGTTTTGTGGATCTATAACCTTCTGAATTCATATTCATTGAATGCATAGTTTGTAGTTGTTGTGGAACCTGAACTCTTGGGGTATAAATGAATGAAGGCTGGAACAATTTTTGCTTTTGGTATCCTGGAGCTTCCAGGTGATGAACAACAGGCTCCTTATGTAGGTCTGAATCTGCATGCTTGGAAGTGTGGACCAAGAGCCTCTTTAATCCAGCTTGCCCTTCAGAGGATGGAACTGCACTGCAGTTTTCTAAATCATGAATTTTTGTCTGTGCTGAGAGTGAACATGTCCCTAATTTACCCAACATATCAATTTTCCGCTTTGGATTATTCAGTTGTTGATTTATTATGCAATTTTCAAAAGGGGGTTGCAATGCTAATGTTTTCTTGAGGGAAACTTCAAGTGGAATTTGGAAATTTGAGTTTGTATGGATACATCCAAATCCACTATGAGAGCTCCAACATGGACAGTAAGCATCTGGAAAATATGAAGAACCAGAAGCACAAGTGGCTGACCTTTGAGGGTAAGTTGTGTCCGTAGTATGAGTCTGTCTGGGATCGTTGACCTTTGGGCCAAGAAAATCACCAGTTAAACCAAGTTGCAACTCCTGGCCAGCTTTTTTCAGCTCTTCTGATGGAGTGAAAGTTTTGCCATGGCTCAAAAGAGCTGGTGGGGTGTGATCGACTGCACTTTTGCTCACTTCAAACTTGACCGTTGGTAGCATGTTTGTTGAAAAGGCCAAGATTGGTGAATCTTGCCAGAAGTCATGTATTGCATTCGAGGCTAGAAACATCCCACAAAAGATTATGTATAGGTGACGGTTGCCCACAATTGACATCTTCCTATTGGCCGGGTTGGCAGCTATTGAGCAAGTCTGACGATTTTCCCGTTTCACTTGATTTTCTGAGAGTCAGTGGAATGGAGAGGCTGGTCGCTGGAAAAACTCAGCCAGCCTGTCCATCGTATCTGTCTTTTCATGTTCGTCGCCGACTCGCCGTCAAGCGATTGGACCTCCCGTCCCGACAAGTTACAGGATGTACTGGCAGTGGTCGCGGAAACATCGAAGCTCCACAGTCTCACAACTCGACAGTTTTCAAGTACTCCAAGTTGTGGGGCCCGTCATCGCCGCGAGAAAAGGAGACTTATGACGAGGAGGACAGTTGTATGATGGGGTACCTCGTAAGGGATCAGGGTTTCTTATCGCAAACCCGGAGTTCATGTCACCAAAGTGCCGAGCGGACCCGCCAAAATCATGCTGGTCCATATTCTTTCGTTGGGTGAGGCATTCCTCTATCAACCCCTTCCCTGGTGTTATCTACGGTCCAACGGAGAGGTTCCCTTTGTTCCATTCAAGATATGAAGTCAAGAAGAATTGTTACATCTATAAACTATTCTACTGTTCAACATGTGGAATGCAATGGGCATGGTTTTTTCTGAGCAGTGTCAAAAAGTACAGGGCAACCAGAAAATGAACAGGATGTGATGATATTTGAAGAAACATTTTGGGATGGGAATCTCATGGCAGATACCTTTCAAAGGTCTGCTCATACCCATATCAAGCACCAAATCAAGGTAACTTTCCTCAGGAGTCAGCCTATCACAAATTCCAACTGCTCATGCCCCAATCTTCTCACTGTTACTTAAAAATTTAAAATGAAACACACTTTACTCTTCTGCCCTTTCATGCAACTTCAAGCAATCACCCAATTTTGAATGTATCTATTTTTTGTATAAAATGGAGGATTGATCAAGCTTAATGAAGCCCCTCTATATTCAGAGGGGCCTCCAAAGCTCAAGTACAAATACTTGCTCTAGAGAATTATGAATTTATGTAGGCAAAATTTTTACCTCACCAATTCATGGAATTCTGTGTTAACAGAAATGATGATTTATTTATCCCCTCCCTCCACAAAGCCAATTTTGCAATTCCTTGCAAACACATTGTAGTGTTTGTTTCATGGCAAAGTTTCCCAATCCCCTCTGCAAATCAAAATCCCTGTACACCAAACTGTTTCATCCAGAAGTTCCTCCACCCCTCTCCAAACTTCAAAGTGAGGGGCTTCATTAATTAGTTAGGGGGTGTGAGCATTTGTAGGCTGTCACAGTAACAAATATAATGAGTGCTGTATTGTAATGATCTCAACAGTCACTATGGTACTGGTTTTTTTTTTTTTTTTTTTGAAAAATAGGGGCTCAGTCAAATTTAAAAGCTAAACAGTCAACCCATAAAAGGCTGACACAGCTGTTATAGGGAACATCACACCAATTTGTTTTTGTTTGCGGTGGGCTTTTATTTCCATTCTTTGCAAACAAAAGTTTGCAAGCCTTTCTGGGTCAGACGCAGTACGTACACAAAACATGTGTTAGCTTGATGCAGGCTGTATAATGATGACATTGTGGTGATCATGGTTTGCAAGGCATGATCCATCAAATCTTGATCACAATCTATGTATTGTGATAGGTCTCACCATCCTGTCAAAAACTTGAGGCCTTTGTAGCATAGTTCAGTGACCCACATTGTTGTTAGAGCATCCTTATCGGTTGGGCTAACTCAGCCCGCGGCTAAAGTCCAAGTTGAAGCAAGTTAACTTAGCGGGGGTGTTTCAGCCGCACTGGTATTGGCTAAACCAACAGCAGCTTGATAGCTCAGCAAACCATGATCAGGAACAATTCAACAACACCTCCTTGAGGAACTGTTTGGATTGGAAACGGAGGATGAAGAAGACAAGGAAGACAGAATAATTGTTGTACCCTCCGTAGAGATCGTTCGTCCGTACTTTTTGCAGGTACCTGGTACCTCCTGGGGGGTACCCCTCGCACCCGCCCCGCACCCTCCAGGAGGTGCCAGGTGCGGTACTTGGTACCTATTTTTGTGAAAAATTGAACAGGTACCTAGGTACTTCTACAGGTACCCCCTCAGTTCCCTACCAAAAATCAAAATGATGGTGGCCTTCTACTCCAAGAACTCCAAGATCCAAGAAGTTACCTTGGCTGCATGGAAACAAGGACTCAAGGATAACAAGAAGTCTAACAAAAAATCAAAAAGGAAGGTGATGGTTTTGGATGACAATGAAGATTCTTCCAATTAGTTATAAGTTGTAGATAGTTTCAACTTTTCAATAAATTATTAAATATGAACAAATGAAAAAAGTGATCTAGGACTGATGTTTTACAATAAATATGAAAAAAATAGAAAAGTAAGATTCTTCCAATTAGATGTAGATATATTACAACAGATATTAAAAAATGCCAAAAAAGTGACTTGTGAGTGATATTTTACAATAAATATGAAAAAAAAATAATAATAATAAAGTGACTTGAGACTCTGGGAGTGAAACTAGGTGAAAAAGAGAGGGGGGGTACCTGAGGTACCTGCAACGGGTACCTTGGGTACCCCCCGGGAGGTGTCTGGTGCGGTACATGGTATCTATTTTCTTGAAAAAATGAACAGGTACCTAGGTATAAACAGGTACCCAGGTCCGAACAAACGATCTCTAACCCTCCGTGACTCGTTTGAAAAACTTGGCTCTCTTTTGACCGGTTGACATGATCGGGTCCTCAGATATCTTAAGCCAGCCTTTTTGCAAGCTGTTGGTCTTCTGTTGGAAGCCAATTGGCACATCGAGTCGGCATGGTAGATGTGTGGCTGTATAGGAGAATCGGGGTGGATGGTTGCTATGTAGAGAGATATCTGGTCTTCCAGCAACTCATGGGCTCTAGCTCACTGTTTTAGCTCATTGGCTAACCGTTGCTACATGTAGCAAGGGTTAGCCAAGATCTTAGCTTCAAGCTGACTTAGCTCCGGGTTAGCTTGAACCGGTGCGCTTGAATTTGGTGGCTAAGTTCCTTAGCTTGAGCTAAACTAGCCACCGATACGGATGCTCTTAAGAGTTTGAAATGAGTATCCATTTCCAAGAATGTCCATACCAAAAAGATCACAACACCCATGAGCAGGATTAACAGAATGGTTCCCAGATATTCACATACTTAACTGCAGCACTGTTTGGCAGCAACACATTGTGGATGATCAATGATTGTTTTTGTCTGACATCCCATATTGTGAGATCTGAAGCTCGAGGGACCAGCAGGGTCCTTCCCATCCTCTTGCTGCAGACACATATGTATCACCTTCTTCTCTTGAGCTCTTTCAAAGAAATTCAAAAATAAAATCATCTGAATGAACAAAAAAAATAGCAAACTAGAATATTACATTATTAAATTAAAACATAATATTAAAGGTCACAACAACTACAAAAAAAAGAAAAAGAAAAGAGAAACTGAAACTGAATGATCAATGAGACTCAGAGAGAAAGAGGATGAAAACTTAAACATGTAACAAATTACGTAAATAGACCCCATGTTTTAGAGAAGATAGAACATCAGACATTGATAAGGGAACCTGAGAGGAAAAGAAAAAGAGAGTTGTGAGAGAAAGAAAGTGAGGGAGAGAAAGAGAGGATGAGATTGAGTGAAGTGTTTATGTAGATAAAAAAAAAGAATAAAAGAAGTTGATGGAGAGAGATAATTCAAAGAGGTAGAGAGGGAGATGGAAAGAGAAGGAGAAAGTTTGAGAGAGGATGGGAAAGAGGTGGGAAGAGAGAGAGAAGAAAAGATTGTGTTTTTTTTGGGGGGGTTTGGTTGTTGGTTTGTTGGTTTGTGTACATACAATAAATCATTGAGAGGAAAAGGGGGAAGTATGAAAGAGGTTACAAGGGGATACTATAGCCAAGTGTGATGAGTAAAAAAAGCAATGGATTTGCTTTTGTTTCTGATTCTTTTAATGAAACTAAAAGAAAAAAAGAAAGGAAATGTGGATGAGAGAGAGAGAGAGTGGGTGAGAGTGAGAGGAAAAGATAAAGAAAGAGTGTTAAGATATAAAGAAGTGTGAAGCTTAATCTTAATCCAAAAAAAGAAGAAGAAGAAAAAGGATAGGCGAGTGAGTGTGGAAAGGAGTAAGAACGAAAGAACTAATCCAAAGAAGGTCTAAACGAAATCACTTCCATCACCGTTTTGCCTTCACGCTTACAAAACAAGACCGCCTTATCATCGCGAAGCGTGATTCTCCAGACGGCTTCACACGGCTCAGCTAATTCACGAATAAAGCTACCAGTCTAAAGTGAAGTGAAGGAGAGACCACAAAAAAAAAGAATTGTCAGTCTCGAATATCTGTAACAACAACAAAGGGAATGGGAAAGAAAATGAACCTTGAAGTCCCAAAGTTTGACTCTTCCATCATTGCCACCGGTGACGACGAAGCGATCATCGAATTGCAGACAGGTGACTGAGTTATCATGGGCGCATAGACGATGGAGACATTCGAAGGAGTCGAGGGAGAAGATGACCACCCTCCCATCGGAGCCGCCGGTGACGAGCACGTTGGACTGTCCATTGATCTGCACTTGACCTACCAAGGCCGTATGGCCTTGCAACAACGCCATCAATTCGCCCGTGCTCGCCGACCATATGCAGACCGTCGAGTCCATCGAGCCCGACGCGATCCGGATCCCGTCAAATGCGACCGCATAGATCTGGTGGTAATGGCCTCGTAAGACTTTCAGACATTCTCCCTAAATACAATTTGTCAGCTTTCTTACTCTCTCTCTCTGAGAGAGGGGGGAAAAAAGAAGAAGGATGACTCACCGAGTCTACGTCCCACAACCGACAGGTAGTATCATAACTGCCACTGACGGCCCGGTTGCCATGGACCTCGATGGCCCGGACACTCGAGGTGTGACCGACGAGCACATGCTTCTGCATCCCCCGCTCGATGTCCCACACGCGTAACGAGGAGTCTCGCGAGCCCGAGACGGCAATCGGTCGGCCATCGAGCACCTTCAAACACCGGATCGTCGAACTGTGCCCGTGTAAGACAAACTTACATTGTCTGTAAAGATGTTGTTTGACAGTTAGCATTCATTCACTACTTGTTCACCAAGGGGAAAATAACCCCTCGAATCAATTCACTAACCCGCTCATCACATCCCATACTCGAACATCTCGATCACACCCTCCACTGACCACCAGGCTGCCCTTCTGTCCCCATCCGCGTGCAATCCCGCATGCACTGGCTTGTTGCAGGTTCCCGGCGGAGGGACCACCTGCGCCCAAGCCCATCCCACCCGGGGTTCCGTGAGTGCCGTATTGGGTCTGATGGCTGGCCGAACGGGCGCTGTAGTCCTCAGAATGGGCATGTGGGTGGGAAGTCATGAATGAGCTGAAGGACGAAGGCCGACGTGGTCGACGATAGTCAAACCCAAGTGGAGCCATCCGTGGGGCCGCGGGTCGACCGACGGGGGTCTGGGAGCTCATCCTTGCAGAGCTGCCCGGCTGTTGTTGGCGGAGATCGGCCGACAGACTGTTCGGATCGGATGCGGATGACGGCGCCTGCGGGATCCGAGAGAACGAGGGTAAGGGTGCGGCAGCTTGGAGGACGCCAGACGAGTGGTTTTCGTTGGAGCTTGGCCATTCCTGCGGGGCCATCGTGGCCGGAAGAGGCATGGGGGCGGCTGGCTCATCTAGCGTCATGTTGGCCGAGGCGGGTTGAAAGATGGAACTCATGTCGGTGGCTGGGAGAGTACGGCCTCGAACGGTGGTGTCTTGACTGCCGTGTCGCTCGCGTGTCCATGAGTTCATACCCAAGCCGCCATGACCACGCATCATGTTAGTTGCATAGCTCGAGGGATGGTACGCCGACGAAATCCATTCAGTGCTTGGAGCATGGGCCGATGACGGTGAGGATTCTTCTGCAGCTGTAAAGAGACCACTGGTGTGAGCAGGAGGGTATCTGCCTCCTGGAAGTTGGAAGTCATCTTCCAAGTGTGACTCGGCTTTCTTGCCCTTTGCGTCTTCTGGTAATGGATCTCGCGGGTCACGGATCCCGCCTTTACTGACGAGAGCTAGACACCAGACGCCGAGTTCGTGGCCGGTAAGGGTCCGAGTAAATTCGCCGGTATGGGCGTTGAAGACATGGATCTTGCTGGTTGCCATTCCGACGACAATCCAATCGTCGTCGAACCCGAGCGAGGTGACAACGCCTTCGTGGCCGTCATTGTTCTGTGAGGTTTGCATGGCAATCAGCTCGCCGGGTCCACGTAACCAGTTGGATTCGGTCAGATAGGCTCGCTTGAAGTATGATTTATAGGAGAACGGAGTGCGGGGGGAGTATTCGAAGTCGTCGTAAAACGAGGCAGCCGATTGGGGTAGCTCGGTGGGACCGACGCTACCGGGCGTCCAAGCGGCCGAATCAGGATGATCAGGGATGTAACTCGTTGTCTGACTGTTACTGCTACCCAGATGGTCATCCATGGATTCTCGATCGGTGGTGTTTGTTGACGGGTCATGGTCAAGATCGGCAAACGCAGAGACAGAGCGGGTCAAGTTGAAGCTGAGACCCAGGACGGGCATCGAATGAGGCCTGGTCCTTCTTGGGGAAGTGGCATCGGTAGGGGCGACCATACCAGGTTGAGGGGAATTAGCATTGATGACCTTGTGAGGCTGCTTGATAGCCGGCGTGATGGATGAATCTTGAGCGGAGATAGGTTGAGATGCTAGGGGGGAGGGACGTTGGATCTGGTGGAGAGTGCTAGTAGAGAGGCCGGCTAGAGGGGTTAGTGAGGCAGAGGAATTGTTGGAGATGGTGAGTTGATCGAGACGGGGTGAGGTGAGAAGATCATTGAAGCTGTTTCGCCTTGAGATGGGTAGTTGATTGAGGCGATTGTTGAGGATAGGAGGCCCAGGATTGCTGTGAGCAGTGAGGTAGGAGGCTGACTCGGTTGGATTGTTGGTAGGGGTAGGTTCAGGATTGATTGATTGACTCAGAGCCAAAGCACTAGTGGTGGTGGTGGTGGTGGTGGTGCCTAGACCTAGGCCAGCAGTGGTGGTGTTGGAAGGCTGAGAGGAGATTCCAAGAGAGGACTGACGTGATGGGTGATGATCGGATTGACGGAATGGAAGGTGTTGATGGATGGACTGATTTGGTGGATTTGTTTGATGATGGGAGTGACGGGATGATTGAGATTGAGGTAGTTGTTGATCGTGCCTGTTGGATGATGATTTCTTTCTCCTTCGACGCTCTTCTACGCCTGCTCGGTAGGTAGCCACTCTTCCCTTCCTCTCCTTCTCCATCCTCTCTGCCAGACTGAGTGGTATACCGGATTGGGTGCCATCATTATTGAAGCCACGTTTCCAGCACATTCCCTTCCAGGTGGTCTCATCGCTGACGAGTGATCTCCAGAATCGGCTGACCATGCCAGCTCTCATGAGTGTCTTTGGGTCATCTACGAAGCTGAGGATGTGGAGAGAGATCTCGATGGGTAGTTCGCGTAGGAAGTCACGTTTGAGACGGGGTAGGATCCTGGCTGAGAGGTTAGTGAGTTCGTTGAGGTTGAGGATGGGCAGGAGTGAGTTTAGGAACTTTGATCGGTTGAGGAGACTGAGTGAGCTGAATGCTTGTAGGAGTGAGTTTGGTAGTTGATGGTCTGGTGGTGGTGAGTTGAATGCCCAGTTGTGATCCTTGTCTGAGTCAGGTTGTGGGGATGGTGCTGGTGTGGGTGGTGAGATTGCTCGACAGAGTGGTGGTGGTGCATGTTGTTGTTGTTGTTGTTGTTGTTGTGCCATGGTTGGAGTTGATTGGAAGTTGCTGTTTGGAAGTTGCTGTTGTTGTTGTTGTTGGTTTGTTGTTGTTGGTGTTGGATGGATGATGTTGAAGTGGTTGTTGTTGTTGGTTGTTCCTGTTGACCGTTCGTTCATCTTTGTTTTATGTATGAAGTTCTTTTTGTGTTTTTTTTTTTTTTTCTTTTTTCTTTTTTTTTCTGAAACAACTCTTTGTTTGGAAGGTGGCTTACAAACTTCAGACGCCTGTCAGCAGTGGGGAAACTCCACCCAGGGAAACCCACTGTCAAGTCGATCGATGTGAACTTGAGTCTGAATCAAACCAAAAACCATAAACAAGTAAATACTTCATTCAATACATAATCCAAAGCAACAAAGCTTGTATGTAAACAACTGATTCATGAAAGCATTCACATCAGGACAATCCAGGAATTCATCATGAGCAACACACAACATTGAGGTTTATATGGTGTTGCAAGCCCGTCTGGGCACACACCAAACTTCGGCCGAAAACAGGCCAAGCGCGCTGGGCCAATCTTAAAGCACGCTTGGCCGACTGTAAAGCCCGCGTGGCACCCTCCCAACCCCCGCTTGGCACATGTCAAAGCTGGCAGGGGTCGGAGCAAAGCCTCGCTTGACCGAAATCAAGCGAGGGTGCCACGCCCGCCAACATGCCGGCCCCCGAGAAGGCCAGCTGCTGAGTCGGGGCCCAGTGCCGAGCTGGGGCACCTGCTACCAATCGGCCCAGGGCTTGAAATCGGCCCAGCGGGACTTGGCTATGTGCCAAGTCCCGCCCCCCGCAGATTCCGGATGATCAAGCCCTCTGGGCGCAAATCAAACCCCCGGTGGCTATTGGCCAAGCGGGACTTGGGTTTGTGCCCAGACACGCTTGCAAGACCATATTTCCTGATCAACAAGTTACAACATCAACATCCATGTGATTGTGATTGGGGCAAGAGTAACAAATTGTTCAGAGTGAGTACATACTCAACCAATCAGCTAGGGATGGCTCAAAATATAATTCAAACATCTGGCAGTGCACCATGGAAATTCCTCAAATCAGTACACTTAGTTAGAAGATGTACCGAGGGCCTGTACCACAGGGTTCAATTTTCAAAAATGGGCATTTTTTCCATCCTCAACACAAAAAATGGGAACAATTGGAGAGATCTGGTGTTGAAATTCTTCACTTTCATGCCAAAGACTAGCTTCTAGTTATGGTCGATTTTGATAATATAAAATTTTGAGCAAGATATATTTTGAGAAATTGAATTTTCATGTCCTATGGTACATTGACAATGACTTTCATTTATTTTTAGACAGCATTCCACATCAAATTATAATATCAACAAAAGTTTTGAGTAACACTCCAAACAGTGAATTTTCTTAGCAAGTGATATTTTGGACTAGACTATTGAGCTTGTGATTTCATGCTATATCGGGTCATGTTTAGAAATCAATTTTGAACACACATACACACACAAGCTGAAGAAAAGAAAGTGCTGATGGAGGGAAAAACTTGGAGATTAGGCTTGGTTTGATTTGATGTTCTTCTTGAGATCTTTCCAAGATGTTGTGCTATGTACACCACAGGTTCCGAGCCACATCGGCTCGTCGTTGTCGATTTGGTTAAGCCAACTTGTGCGACCCCGCCCCAAAAAATGGCCCTGCGCACAGCGGGAAGGATCGGAACCCGCTGTTGGCTTGACCGGTGACGCAGGCCTCATGGCAAGGGATGTCGTTGGCTTGACTTGCAACGCTGGCTTCACAGCGGCATCTGATGGGAATACCATTATTCCGACCTGCACGTTGGCAGAGGTCGGTGGTCACTGATCAGATATCGGTTGGCCAAAAAAGAGCGAGCTTGGCTTGCTCTCCTAAAAAGCAGCTCTAGGGGCATTTGAACCCAGCATGCCTTCATTCAGGACCACTCACTCCACGAGTTCCAAGATACACACTAACTACTCCACCAATGCACCTTTCTGATTTCCCTTCTCTTTGAAATCAAGTTCCACAATTTCCTTACAATTTCTTTGGAAATCTTCTCATTCCGTTGAAGTTTTTTTTTTTTTTTTTTTTTTTTTTTTTTTTCAAAATTTTGAACATGTGTAGCCTCTTTTTAATCATTCAGAGAGACCACAAAACCAATTTTGAAATTGGTTTTTTTTGTCAACCTATTGGTTGAGCTGACCCTTCGTCAAACAAGTTAATCGACCGATGTGGTCATGTCGCCATCATCATCTGGGTTTGCCATCGTCGGCTTGCTCGCGAGGGCACAAGCTTGTCAGCATAAAGGGAGCTGTCCCTCCCTGTATGACTCAGGGGTCATGACGCTGTCAACACCAGGCTAGTCGGCTGAGTTGACTTGACCCTTGAGTCATACAGGGCATGCCATCGTAGGGAAGACCAAGATTTGCCGTCAGCTTGCCTGCTGTGTCAAGTGCAAGGCAGGCAGGTCATCACTGACCTGCGCGGACTCAAATTTCATTCTCCTGTGGGGTTGACGCGGTCAAACAAAAAATATCGACCTGTGGTGTAGGAGATCGCCGCCGTAGTCCGTAGCTGGCGTGGATCATGCAAATTCAAAATGAGATTGGTTTGGGCCCCCTGGCTTATGAGCAAAGACCCCTTTGCTTACTCGGTTTCAGTTACAAAAACTTAAAACTCAACCTCAAGTCATACCATCATCAACAAAGGCTCAAGCACCTCATCAAGATGGCCAAGAAGAAATCAGCATCCAATCAAAATACCGCTGGGTATGTGCATTCAACCTTGCTTTCGTTCCTCTCCAGACAAGCTTCTAACCGATCTTCATCAAACAAAAATTCAATTCGGATGTGATTAATTTCCTCAGAACAGGCTTACTAACTAGTCTTGTCCATCTTTTCCAGACCGAAAGCTTCAACCAGTAAGGCAAAGAAGCAGGATCCTATACCGAAGACCGAGAAACCAGCAGTGGCTCCAACACTAGAAGACATCACGATCCCATCACCAACAACATCCAATACCCCAAGCCAACGTCGAAAAAGTTCGATTCCCGAGTCCTCTCAAGCCAGGTCGACACCCAAGAGGAGAACATCATCAAAAACTGAAACGCCAGTCGAACCGACAAATAATGAGAACGAACTCCCAGAACCGCTCCAATCAGAACTGCAGAAACAAGCCGAAGCAAAGAAGGAGGAAGGAAACGTCCAATTCAAATCGGGCAAATTCAACGAAGCTATTGCATCTTATTCCGAAGCGATCAGAATCAATTCCGATAATCCTGCCTATCTAGCTAATCGAGCAGCCGCTCTGATGTCCATCAGAAATTACCACTCCGCACTCGCCGATATGCAGCTCGTCAACTCCCCCAAATTCATCTCCCTTGGTATTCAACCCACTACTAAGAATATCCTCAGATTAATCCGATGCTATCTTCCATTAGGACACCTCTACCAGGCTCGACAATCACTCAAAAGTCTATTAGAAAGCTCCCCAGACTGTCTCGAAGCCAAGAAAGAAGACGTTCGATTGAAGAAGTTAGATGAGATCATAGCTAGTTTACAGAGAGATCGTACTCGTCAGGATTGGAGTATGATGTTGATCGGCCTAGATCGGCTTCAAAAGGAGCTAGATTGCGGATCTCTCAAAGCAAAGGAATGGCTGATTTGGAAAGTCGAGGCTCTATGTGGTCAAAGGAAATGGGAGGATGCCAAGTGTATATGTAACGAGTTAGTGAGGTCGTACTCTTCGGATCCAGAAGTTTTGTATTATCGGGCGAAGGTGATGTACTCCCAGGGAAACTTGGCCGGTAAGCCGTAATCCTGTTGAGCTGGTCAACTTCTTGATCTCCTCACCTTAACCTTGTTTCACTGTTTTTTTTTATGTTCAAAAACAATAGCCACAGTTTCTCACTGCCAAGAGGCAATACGATGCGATCCTGGGTTCAGTAGTGCTGGGACTCTACTACGACAAGCACGCAAGATCGAGAGTTTGAAAGAAGCTGGAAACACCTCATTCAAGGCATCAGACTACAAGACGGCGATCGAGAAGTACCTGGAAGCCAGCTCGATCGATCCGACGAACGAAAGCATCCTCTTAACGCTCGACAGCAACCGGGCACAAGCCTTACTGAAAAGCGAACAATACGCCGAAGGCATCGAGGTCTGTAACAAGATCCTCAAGATCGACAAACAGCATTTCAAAGCCCTCCGGACGAGGGCTAGAGCTAAAAAGGCCGACTCCGAATTGGACGCCGCCTTGGCCGACTTCGAAGCCGCTGCCAAAATCGCCCCAACTCCTAAAGATAAAACTGAGATCTCGAATGATATTAAGACGACTAAAATCTTGATCGCTCGGAGTAAATATGTGGATCATTGTCAGTCGCTCAGATTCCTCTCTTTCCGCTTTTCCTTCAGACACTTCCAATCAGAAAGCAAAAGAGGGAAGAAATCACTCCTGACTGAACAGTCTGAACCTTCATTTTTTCCACGATGTAGACAAGGTATGCTATTTTTAACTTGCATCCGATGCCACCATCCGTTGACTTGCGTGTCTGAACACGCAAACGAGTAACGCTTTGTTGGTATTCACCAAGATCGATTTCTCTTGCATTGAATTTATGTAGGTGCTTGGAGTATCCCGGAATGCATCCGATGACGAGATTAAGAAGGCGTTCCGTAAACAGTCGCTTATCCATCATCCTGATAAAGGTGGTAATGAAGAAAAATTCAAAGTAGATCATTTTCAACAGACTCGCCGTTTTAATTTTTTCTTGTATTTCTCGACCGAGCTGACATCAAATCACTATTTCAGGAAGTTAACGAGTCGTATACGGTTCTACAAGATCCTCAATCTAGGAGAAAATTCGACATGAGTCAGTCAAAAGATTAACATTCCTTTCTTGAAATCAGAGCAACCAGAAAAGACAATATCAGTTTCAAGAAAAATTGGACATGATATTAACATGGACAATGATCCGTTTTTTTCCTTTATTGACCAAAAACACATCACAGTTGATCCAGATAATCCACAAGGAGGATCGTCTTTTTACGATGGATTTGACGACGATGATGAATCTGACCAAATGCCATTTGGATGGGAAGGGTTGTAAGTGCCAATGTCATCTTGACGCGAATCGATCGGATATCCGAGGACTGATTCATTTCAACATATTCTACCCTTATTTTTTTTTATTTGAAAAAAGATTTGGTTCGGGGGCGGGAAGTCGAGCTAGTTACAGCTCTGGTTCCCATTATCGGTCACATGCTCATGCTCATACTCATGCTCATTCCTTCGGCGGGGGTAACCCCAATCCATTCTTCACTCATACCAGAGGCTTTTAATCTCCCCAAAAAATCCTAAAAGAATAACTGTCCACAAAAAAGATAACTTTCGGATGATGATGATGATGATGATTATGATGATGACTTGTTTTTTTGGGGGGTTTCCTTTTTTAAGTTGTCACTTTCTTAAATCTTGGTCTTGTTGATCTTGACAATCAATCGCTTGCTCCTTCTTCTTCTTCTATTCTACTCAAACTAACCAAAAATAGAAAACATTAAAAAACCATTACATTGATATCAAAACACAAAAAATCGCTCACAAATGTGTTCAATACGAACTTGTCAACACAAACTTACAAACCTTGCGAGCTTATCAGGATTGATAATGAGCTTACAGGCCTAATTTATCATCACAACCATACGAGGCCGCCAAATGCCGAGCTTGACTGCTCTCCGGTGGAAACGCTTGGCGCCTCCTTGGTTCAGGCCTTTCATACCAAGATTTTGGCGTGCATGCAGATATGTGTAGTTGGTTTCTAGTACGCATTTGGGTGAGTCCAACGAGTGAGCACTACACGCGTAAGATTATGACCGACAGGCTGCCGGATGGCATACATATTCCATGCAGTCCTGCTCGTTTGCCATAAACTCGATGCAACCTTACCTGATAAATTTGTTGCCTACCTTAAATACTGGTCGGTGTGATTCGAAAATCATCCTTGGCCCGGCGGATCCAGGTTGTGATGGCTGCGAAATTCATTGACTAACGAGATAAGTGCCACGCTACTTGCCCACAATAACCCTTGTTCAGCTCGAAGTAGTAATCATCAAGAAACAGCCAGCACGGGATTGGTCCGGTCTAGTCTTTGCGTGCTAAGCAATCGATGAAAAATCAAGCAAAAGCAGAGACATATGACTTTGGGTGACTTCCTGAGACTTCTCCCCCCCTCTCCGCGAAAACTTCACATTCCATCACTCAAGCAGATCCCTTCCTTAATATCGCCCTTACCTTCCCGTTAGCTTTCGCCTGGAGCGGAGACCCCTAATCGATTTGGAATCCATCATTATTATAAGCATGTCGGGCATTGCTTCTGGAACTTTGCCGGCACATTGTACCAGAATTACTCACCTGATCACTCTTTAATTCACATCACTGCTGAAGAAATATTTGCAGACTTCAACCTGCCCACATCCTAGATGCCACAACACGCCTCAAGACAGCGGCGTTCAAAGATACAAGACAGAGGCGTCCCGCAGACTGTTTCTCAACTCACCGCTGGGCTCACATCAACCTCCTTCTTCACGCCAGTCCCACCCTCACCAGACCCACCAACCAGCAGTGCAACTCTGCCCAATCCGCGTTCTTCAAATGGAAACATTCAAACTGCACCTTCACCAAACCCAAATTCCTCACCCCCAACACCAACAGCTCCGGAAGTTCTTCCAGCTTCCCCATCCCTGTCACCTGCGAGTCCCTCAGTGACTAATGCACCAGCTACCCATGTACCCTCTTCCGTCACTTCCACCTTGCCACAGGCCAGCCAGAGCTCTGAGCCACCTCTTCACGTGCCGGCGGCTAACGATAACATGGTTCTGGCGGGGAGCGCGCTTCCTCAAAATCCTCCAATCAGCTCTTCCCCACAATTGTCTGCGTCACATGAAGTGCATAACAGTCGCAAACCAGGCCCGACCTTGTCCACGAAAACCATGGCGAACGATTCGAGCTCTCCAAACTACATCGAAGCACTTGTGGTGGTAGGAGTGATCATAACGGTTCTGATGGGTGGAATCTTTTACTATTACTTCAAAGTCCATAGGAAGAAGACCAAAGCTGATCACGAGTCACGATCCTATGGGACGGATGATTCGAGCTTCAACGACGTCAAGATTCGCTCGGAATCGATCAGCAGCTCTTCTCATCGAATCGACAAGAAAACAATCGTCAAAGTCAAGAGCAACACGCAAAGCATCATGAGCTTTGGACCAGGCCCTGATCCTCAATTCACGCGTCCTCCATTGAGCACCGTCCAGAGTTTGTCCGATGTGCATCACAACTATCTTCCACGCTTGGAAAAAAATCAGCTCTCGGAAAAACATGTGTATGAATATGATTCAAGCAAGCAACTTGACGCCCAATCAAAGAATGGATCTCAGTGAGCCTCAAGGATTGGGAACTCAATCAGCTGATTCTTCAATCTCCAAAACCACTGACAATAATTTACGTTCCCTCTGAATCATGTAGGACAACTCTCTACAGTGTGGGCGACGAGGTTTCGCATATCCCGATCAGTTACAAAGCATCAAAGAAACCTGCGGCCGCACCATCCACTCTGACTTCGGAGGCCATCATGAAGCCTTACCCTCATCTGATGGTATCCAAAAAGGCCAGCCCCAAACGATACAATCGGATCTCCAAGGCCGCGCGCAAACTCGTCCCCGCACGATTGGTCACTGGCGTCGGGATCGGCAGAAGTAAAGACCTCGTCCCGCCATTGCCCTCGCCCCACGATAAGTATCAGTCTTCATTCATCCCGAAACCTTTCAAGTCTAAAGCTTCTACACATAATCTACATTCTGTTTATCGGCCAGATGATAATTATCCTACTAATTTTAGCTACTATCAGAGTTAATTCTCTCTCAAAAAAAATGCATTCTTCAAACTTTTTTTCTTTCCTTTTTTTTGAAACAACATTTTTTTTTTTTTCCTTACAAATTTGATATCAATTAACTTAGAAAGATAGACATAACACAACACATAAAAAATGTTTCAGACATTCAACTCTCATTCCAAACTGTTTGCATTATTTGACATTCCATTTGATTCGATTTTTCCAAACTAAATTTTATCCATTTCATGTGATTATAAATTATACAAACATTCCTTCACTTTGTCAATTTGGTTGATGCATTTTAGGGCCAACTTGTCCAACTATTTTGCCATTCTCAACCAAATGATCAGCCCTTGATTTGCCCCACACCACTCAAGACACTTAACCAAGTCTTCTTTCAATTTCTTTGATATAATGAATGAATCACAGGCTATCAATCCTCAATGTGACTAAGCCTAAATATATGTGATATAAAAAAATTTCATGGAAGAAGGAGCAAACTAAGAAAAAAAAAACACAAAGCTCCAAGCAGAAAAATGTTGCCCAGGAAACACAATTTGCCATCAATTATTTCAGGGACAATTAAGAGCATCTCCAGCAGAGCCGCGACTGGGCGATTTTCAGCCCAAATCAGCGGCTCGCGGGAGAATTTCGGGGTCCAGCAGAGCCGCAACTAGACCCGCAACTGATTGCCCCCCACCTCGCCCCCGGCTATAAACCCAAGGCAATAGCCGCCGTGGCAGAGACCGGCTACTCGCTCCTTGGTGTTTTTCTCACAACACACCCACACCACACCCACCACGATACTTGATCCACCACTTCAACACCTAGCTACACTTCCCTCAAAGCAGTCGCTAGTCGACTACCAAAGCTTAGCGACTTGGCCAACTGCCCCCTGCTCTCTATTGCCAGTCTGCTGTGGGAGCAGTGTGACAGATGTGAGACAGTGGTGTGAAATGCGGTTGCAGGCCGCTGCTCGGGCAGAAACCGACCCCGGCTCTGCTGGAGATGCTCTAAGCATTCCAAGGCATATGCATTGAAGAAAAACCTACTGGTTGAGAAGGAAACACAGTCATAAAAAAATTCTTCATGCATTTTAGAATTATGTTAATCAAGATGGAGACACAGATGATGGGATTGTATTTGCAAGAGATTAGAAAAGATAAAAGACCTAAATGATTTAAAGCACACACGCGCACACACCGAATAATGAGAAATGGATTGAAGTGGGTTTGGACGCATTATTTGAGCACCTAAATGCTGGGATCAATTTGACGCATTAATCTCATGAAAGTATCAATAAGAAGGATGAAAACAGGTACAACAGGACTCCAGATGAAAGGATCTTATCATGATTACCAAATGATCACAGAAATGAGCTTGAAGGATCAAATGAGATGAAAAGTTTGAAAAGGAATGCGTGTTATTAGTGAACTCGGCATAGCGGACAAGTGGCTACTTCCCAAGGATTGAATCTGCTTATCCAGGAGTCAATACAGGCGATGTGGAAGTGGTGTCCACACTTTTTCATATGACTGACAAGTTCGACTTTTAGCTGATTGTTGGTATCAATGGTTGGCGGGACATAGTCGTCAAGACAGATGCTGCATGAACTGTGCGCCGGATCCACAGTGCGTAATTGGAGGTGTTTTGGAAGCGGCGGTTGGGAAGACAATTTATCTTGAGAAGCCATGTTGGAAGCAGCACCGAGTTGACATCCATCTGGCTGGCCGACTTCTGGGACAGAAGGAATCAGATCCAAGCGTTTTGCTCGCTTCAGTGAGATGGTGTTGCTAGGCAGATCTACATTCGCCTTGGACAAATTTTCCTGGGGGATGTATCCAAATACTTCGGTTTTTGGAGTAGGATTTTCGATAATGATGCTCTGGAAGTATTTGTATAGATTGGGTACTATCGATGGCACACCATTAGGTGTTGGCCCTTTGCCCCATTCAGCCCATGGAGACAGACAACTGTCCACTTCTTTTATATCAACAGATGATGACTTTGGCTGATGGAAATCCTCACGGGATGGTCGAAGGATCTCCTGATAACTATGATCAAAGAAGTATTGCGATACCAAATCGGAGTATAATGGTCTATCAAGATCCTCGCCATGATAAATATCTTCTCCGAAATCAATGGCAGTAATTCTGGCGTTAGCCCCCGAAGAGTATGGGCCAAGTAGGCTATAAAGAACCAGCTACCAAAAAAATGTTTTCAGAATTGGTTGATGAAGATAGTCAGTATAACGTGGGTTTATCTCCTGCTGGCACTGCAAAAAATCCAGTCGATTGCAGTGATTCATCTATACTCACAAAGGAAATGTTCATTGTTAGTGAAACGGCTCGGAGATTGTTGAGTATGAAAACCTTGATCCTCTATGACAATGTAAACAGATTCAAATATGCGGAAAGATGTGTCAAATGGTGGGCCAGGTCCCAGCAAGATGTACAAGGATGACTTGTGGACATTGGCTTGAATGTGTCCTCACTGCTTCATCTCACCAGCCCAAGTATTTTTCAAGTCACCTACTTTGCTCAAACTTCACAAAGTTCTGGTGATACAACTTGCCGAGATACCTATGACTTCACGCGTATGTAACGTCCACCTGGATGTTGTGCTTTATTGACTGCTTCGATAAGACTATAGTCTATAGGCGCACTTTACGCAAACTAACCGCCCTCATAAACAGAAATGTATAAATGATAATTTTACAGTGAAACAAGGAAAAAAGAAAGCTATGTAGACACAACTTCCAGATATGATGTCTGAGCGCCGGCCTTTAACCATTCTGATTGAGGCGAATGCGATTATTCTGATTGAGATGACTCTAAAAATACATAGAACCATTCAGTTCATCGTGTTCAGAAACAAATCAACTTCCACGATCACTGCTTTCTGGGGCAGTGAAATATCTTGGATTGCAGTACCACTACCACTTCCATTACACAGTTTACCAATTTTTTTTGTGCAAATTCGATCCAAGATATGATGTTTCTATGTATTCTTTGTGAGACACTTGAAGAGCAAGTCAAATGGAGAAAGAAAACATCAGGATGGAAGTTTTGACTATCCATTTGTGCTACAGATACTGTTTGTTGCCAGATTCAGTCCCACCTTTATACATTAGACATCCCCAGTTCCAGTCATTATGTACTATACAAGAGTTTTTTTCTCCCTGATCCCGTGAGAAGTTTCTTAATTAATAATTTGATCAGACAATCAATCCATTTTCTTTATTTATTTCTTTCTCTCTAAAGCACTGCCTACCCTTCAATCTTCTTCACTTTCTCATGACACCCAAAACAACATGCATATCTGTAAAAGATTTGGATAAATATGTATAATGTATGTCAAATAAAAAAGTAATGGAATTGAGAACCTCTATACATGTGCTTGAATCTGTTGGAACCTCATCAGCCACCACTCCCCCACCCAAGATTTTTTGTTGTTGTTGTCTTCTTTAAAAGAGAAAGGGACACATGAAAACAACCAAAGCGGAAAAAAGAAGCAGAAAAAAGTTGAGGTAGTTTATAAAGTCAAATAGGATTATAATATAGAAAGATAAAGGGAATGTAATTAAGGATGATCGTCATGATCATAAGAAGGAAGTCCCGCGTGATTTTCGAGCTGAGATGAGGAAGGAGGAGACGGATCGGACTTGGACACGTCAGCCCAAACCGCGGCATCATCAGGGACGATGAGCGGCTGCTGTTCCTGAAGAAGGTCATGTTGGTCGTGAGATTCGGAGGGAGAAAAGCTAGACTCATGGTCCTTATTCAAGTCGAGATCACGCGTAAGGTTCTCCACAGATGATGCTGAGGTCGGGTCGGGAGCGGACGAGCTTGGGTGGGGTTCTAGGCCCGCTTCTGGAACGACTGCCGACGACGACGCCGCTGTCGTCTGTGTTGATGGCTGGACGGCCTCGCTTTGGTTGGTGTTGCTTTTGCTGCCATTGTCGTTCTTGCTGTTGTTGGGGGGATGGGGAGCACTATTGGCATCGGCATTTTGCTTCGACAAGACCTGCAAGACCTGATAATACTCCTGCCAAACTTTGACGATCTGGATATAACATATCATAGTTCAAACAAGAGTTCAGTAATCTGTATGAACATATTTTGAAACTGAATGAGACTCAACTTGACGTTGTCGATCAGTAAGTCCATCAACAAAACTACAAATTGAAAGCTTGAAATCTTCCACTTTTTCTTGATCGAATCTCTGAAATTCAGCCTTTATCAATTTGGACACATCAGCGAATTCGTTTCGAGCCTCATGAGCTCTTCGTTCAGCCTTTGAAAGATTTTTTGGAATCAAAACAAACATGCATATATATAATATTCAGTGAACCTGATTTATACGTATTGAGAAAAGGAATATTAACCTCTTCCAGTTCGGCTAACGAATACATGAGCGCAGTAGATTGATCGTTGGGAGAACAAGAGCGCTTAATCTTCTCATGATTAGACTGGATTTTCTTGAGATGGTTGATGGCGTATTGAAGTTTATCCCACGACTTAACTCTGCCATTGAAGGTGAGTCTGACGCTGTTAGTGAGTCTAGCATAAGCTTCGACGGTCGTGATGAGGCTCTCGAGTTCGTTGGTAGCCTGGTCGAGGGCCCATTGGTGGGCCTGACGATGGAGCCCAGCCAGGCGCTCGATAGTGTTCCGGACCGGCTTCGACAGGTCGCTCGTCGAAAGCACTTGAAGCCCTTCGGCTAGCTCCGATAACGATTGTGCCATTGCCCGACGCGCCTTCGACGCCGCCGTCAATGAAGCCTGTAATACCTTCAGTTGTCCCTCTAACGTGTCCAGCGCGACCTTCCGGTTCTCGAAAAACTCATCCGTTTCCACGAACCTTGGCCCGGCAATATTGGCCAGCCAGCCCGTCTGAGGTGACGAATCATGTTTACGATGTTTGATCTAGTCGACAAGATGAATTTGAGCTTGGTCTAAAATCATCGGGTATCATCGATCACTTACCTCCAGACCAAATGCATCGCTCTCTAAGAATAACTTCAGGTCCGGATCGCTAGTCAACATAGGATGATTAACAGTCTTTTGTAAGAAGAACTCCAAGGCGACCCTTCTTGCGGCGATAAAGCCTTCCTGAAACCGATCTGTATCCCAGGGCAACCATTTTTTTTTTTTTTTGAAAAAAATAAGAAGATCCCACCCATCAGCGAAGCAGCGAAAAAGAATGAGGGTTAAGGTAAGAGGAGGAGGGGCGAAATGGGAGACTGACGACGCAGATTCTTGTCCGGTATCGGCGGTACTATGATCCCTGGATTGTTCGATACTAGTGCATCGAATAACCACACAAAGTCCCGAAACCGTCTCAAAACCGTACTTGAAGCTTTCAACGGACCACTCGAGTTAGGATCCGTAGCCTATGGAAGTAAACACCATATCAAACCAATCAATTGCTTTCCTTTCTGTTGTTCTTTCTTTGAGCTTTAAAAACATACGACAGTTTTCACCGTGTAAACGGTATGGATATCGTTAATCATTCCCATCTTTTGTGGGTCCCCGACGCTACACTTATACAGTGGTAAAGGGGCAGTCGGAACCGGGGTAGGAGTAGGATACTGGGCAAGGTTGGGGCCGGGGAGGGAAGAAGAGTTAGGACGAGAGAGGGGTGCTCGACCCTGCTGCTGTTGTTGTTGTTGTTGTTGGACGAGACCTTCGCGTACGGAGGCGAGCGGGCGTTCATCCTCGGAATCCGAGTCGGGAGGATGAGCAGGCTTCTGTTCTGGTCCGGGCTGATCAGTCTGGACAGCTTGAGGAGGGGCATCGGCCGAGGGATCGGGACCAGACTGCTCGCGAGGTGGATCTTGGGTTTCCCCGTCAGACGGGCCTGAATTCTGGACGGGTTGGATGGCTTGTGGATGATCGCCGACGGTGTTGGTAGGCACCAATGAGGGTAGCAAAGATGAAGGGGATGGGACGACGATCGAGAGGCCGGTCTTGGTCTCTTGGGGTACGGGTGGATTCCCAGATGGACTGGTTGGAGAGACCACTTCCTTCCCTTTTCCTTCTGGGTCTTCCTCTTCGTCTTTGACCGTATCTTTGGATGGATCGACGGCATCTTTTTGAGTCTGTTGTGGATCTGGATGATCGTTGGGGTTTGATTGATCGGATGATGACGCGATGGCTGTTGATGTGGCGTCGGGTTCAATTTTATTTTGTTCTTGAGGTGGTGGTGAGGTGGCTCGAGTTGATTGATTGGACTGAGGTTCGACGGTTTTCTGATTCTGGGCTGGTTCAGTGTTCGAAGCAGCTGGGGGTTCAGGGTTGATGATGATCGGTTTTGGTTGAGGGATCTTGAGTCCTAGGGGTCGATAAGGCTTAGGTTGAGTTCTTGATGGGCTGTTTGAGTTCGAGGCTAGAGCAGGTTGATTGTTTTCGTTCTTCTGAATGGGTTTTGATGACTTTGGTGAGCTCTTCTTGAATGCAGGTAGACTGGCCCTCGAGTCGGGTAGTAGTAATGAGCCAGCCAGACTTCCACCACCGAGGATGTCAGGCAGGGCTGGTCTTGAGCTTGTTGTTGGGTTTGATGGGCTGATTGGTTGGTCGAGATGATCGGTGATGTTTGAGGATGAGGTTAATGTTGCTGAGACTCCGAATGGTCTGAAGAGGGGTGGTTGTGGTTCTGGTGGTAGTTCTGATGCTGGGATGGTTTGATGTTGTTCAGTGTCAGGATGATGATGTTGCTGTGGTGTGAGTTGTTGTTCTGGTGCTGATTGGGTTAGTTGATTTGGACTGCTGTTTGTTGATTGATAGTTGAATTGGTTTGATGAGGATGAGGATGATGATGGGATGAGATCCTGAAAGGGTTCCTGGTAGGATGATTCTAGTTGATCGTTATTGAACTTGAATAGTTGTTGATCTGGGCTCGTTTGATAGTCAAGATCTAATCCTGTTGTTGTTATTGCTGCTGAGCTGGTGAATGAGCTTAGATGGTGATCTGGTATGATGATAGGTTTTCCATCGAAGCCTAGTTCTTGGTCATCATCGGTTGATGAGAAGTCAGTTAGCCCTGTTGCTGTTGCTGCTGCTGCTGCTGCTGTTGTTGTTGTTCTTTCCTCTTCCTCTTCTTCTTCTGCTTCTGCTTCTGCTTCTTCTTGTTGTTGTTCGTCTTCTTGTTGATGGTTGAGGTTGAGGTCAAATGAGCTTGACTGTATTACCGTGTTATTCTTCGATGGTAAGTCTGCGAATGGGTTATCATCCTCGATCGATCCTAATCCAGTTGAATGACTGTCTGGGTAGAATGACATCCTATTCGTTCGTTCGTGTGTTTCCCTTGACTCTTGACTCTTGACTGTTGACTCTTGAGGTTGTCTTGCAGTTTTGTTCCAGTTGATCTTCTTCTTCTTGAAGGGAGGTGATTCGAATTACGTCAGCTGCATACATACACAGCATTCTGATTGATTACATCATCACAAATTCCTTATCCTCCAGTCAAAATCAACAAAAACAGAAATCATCATCTCATATCAATCAGTCCTTCAAAAGATTATTTATAAGATAAGCAGAAGGAGAACGATGAAGGCGCTTCGAAGCGAGCTCTTGGTTATGTTTTGTTTATCTGACTAACACTTCTTCCCTGAATTCAGCTCAGAAGCATGTCGATGAACATGATCATGTTAGATTAAATAAACATGTTCTTTCCAACGTATTGGCGATCTCCCTACTGTATTTCACAATGGGGAAAAAATACAACAAGAAATTTCAGTGGTTGGATTGAGAAAAAACTCTGGTTCAGTTTCTGATTAACTCACCCAAAGTGTAATTTGAAGCTACTCCACTTCAGTTGTCCATCATTCTCCCAATACTCTGGCTGTCCAACAATTAATCTTTGAAGGTGTTAAATAGCATTTGGTATTACATATGAACACACATGAGCTTAGGATAAAAAGCATTATTATAAGCTTGTGATCATAGGCAGGGCTAAGCAGCTTCAGATAGAATTAACAATAAAAAAGATGGTTACAACTTACATAGATCAGCAATCCAATTAAGATATGACGGATTCAACTGATGCAATCACTCAGATATAAAATTAATGTGGATTTAAACTTTGCACAATTAGCCCCCAGATAAGGCTAGTGATCATTGTGAGTCTGGTCAGGAGGTTCACACAGAACAACCATGGATCATAACTATGCACTGGCCAGGATAGTGCCCAAGCAAAACTCAACAAGCCATTTTGCTGATCTTTGGCTTTGCTTGAATATGAGGGGCCTCTATCCAAGGAGCTGGTGTTGAAATTCTAAACAAAAATTGGGCCAGTTGTTGAATTTTACACAGTGTTAGGATAATTGATCTCCAAAGAAAAGAAAAAACAGAGTGGAGGAAGTCCTGTTGTCATTGAAGAGTGTTTTTTAAGAACCCTCTCAGTTCTAATTTAACACTCTAATTGAAACCACAACTAGTTGGCATGGAAGCCATCACAACAAGGCATATGAAAAAAAGGATTTTTTTTGCCAAAAATTGATATTAAAGTGGTGTAAATTAAATTCTGAAAGGGTTCTGAATCCCAATGGGAAGTCATCCAGTACATACCAACAGGCTCTACATACTTTGGATTGCCAACTGACTTTGCTAATGACACCCGCAACAAGTCCCAAAGAATGAACTTGGTCTTTAGACTTTACCAAGCAGAGGCCAACTATGATCCTCAGAGGCCTTTGCACTGTGAATTGGCTAGCTGGACCTTCATCAAACTGTCCTAGGCACCAACGCCGCGATATCAGCTATCATGTCCGGGACTGACATACCCAGCTGGAGGGCTATCCTCACCGAGGAAAAAACAACACATGATACTCAGGGATCTGACTAAAAATAGTGTTGCAATAGACTGCCAGGATCTTGTACGAAGCCCTGCGTTTAACTGGCGCACATGCTGGTATTTGGAACACTGCCAAGTCTTATCAGCGATCCAACGCAACGCGTTGTTGCAAGGACTTCCTATGATAAACTAGTAGATCCATCGGACAGGAATCAATATTATAACTGGCTATGCAAAAAAGTATCCTGACCGAGGAAAAAAAATATGATCTTCAGACACCTGAGAAACTTGGCGCGCCTGATGATATTTGGAAGACTAGTACTACCAAGTTATATTAACGTTCCAACGGGACATGCGTCCTTGCAATGACTTTTCATGATAAACAGAAATCAGTAGTATACCTGACTAAAGAAATATCCTCACCGAGGGAAGGAAAAAGTATGATCCTCAGACACCTGACCAACATGTCGCACCTGCTGATATTTGGAGCACTCGAAAGTTGTAATGACGATCCAACGCAACGCGTCCTTACAATGGCTTCTTATGATTAACAAGTGATTTCCTCGGTCGAAGTAGTATATTCCTCACCGATGAAGGAAAAGAAATTATGACCCTCAGACATTCGACCAACAGCAATACTTCATACCAATTGTATGCTGCTTCGACCTCGATTAAAATGATTTATCTGTAACGTATCTGTTTTCTTTGGAAACCCTCAAAATTCACTTCAAAGACTCAATGCAACAGGTTATCTATCACGCCATCTTAAATACAACAAGCACCTATGATGTCTATAAAAAGAACACCCACTAGAAGCCATTTCTTTTGTCCCACAGAAAAAACCTATCATCATTTTCTGCTCATATTTATTATTTCACACATTATAGCCAATACCCCAGGTATTTATCTTTTCACTTTATTTTATTGAGCTTCTTTTGGTATGAATAATTCAATTGATTGAGCATAATAATAATTGCTGATTACCGTATTGCTTTCTTTCCATTCTTTCCACATAGTTACAAATTCAACTTCATTACCGCATTGTCAAAAATCTGTTCGATAATCTACAGAGATCTAGTGAGGACGCAACAAGATGATCAAGTTTGCTTTTCTGTGCTTGGCGATGAGCATAGCAATCGTTGAAGCTTTGGGTGGGAAGGCGTATCATGTTGCGACGGTCAAAATTGCAGATCACGATTACAAAATTTTCGATTGTACACCTTTTATCCAGAGCAATACAAAAACTAAGGAAAATGATAGCGACATTATAAATGCTGATCCAGAAATGAAGGAAGACGGTAGCAATATTTTCAAGAATGATGCGCAAAATGAGGAAAACGGTAACAATATCATGAAGAAAGGTGCAGAAACTGCCACGCAGAGTCATCCAGAAATTGAGGAAATTGGTAGTAATATTGATCCAGAAACTGAGGAACACGGTAGCGACATTATCAAGAACAAAACAGGAACTGAGGAGACTCCTTCGGAAGACAAACAAGATAAGAAATCGCCGTATACTTGGGTGCAATTCGCGAATACAGTTCCTCAAACCGAGCTACAAATTTACAATCCATCCAGAGGGAAGGTGGTCAATTTGGTAACAAGTCCAAACGACCATTGCAATATAGGAATTTTGGAAGAGCAACCCTGGATAGTGGCCACCTCTCGAAAACTTTCTTGGGGACACATGCCGGCTTTCCCACCATTAAACGAGGAAATTAAGGAGAGAGTAATGGAATATTTCAAGGAACATTTGGCCACAGGGCAGCAAAATAAAGTTTCAGAAGAGCAGGTCGAGGTGAAATTAATGAAAGGAATTTCTCCAGAGGGAACTGTGGCTAATGGAAATTTACCAGAAGAAGAAATGACTTGGCTGGAAGAATATCAGCCAGAACAAGCTCTGCAAAAATCACCTGAAAAAGCTCAAAAAGAAGAGGATCCACAGGAAAAAGATCCTCAACAGGAAGAAGCTCCTCAACAGGAAGAACATTTTGAGGAAAAAGCTGAGAATAAAGGAACTGGGCATCAAGGAGTAGTTCAAGGAAGAGATCCGTCAGAAGAACATCGGGTGGAAGCTGCCCGGATTCAAGAAGTGCTTGTGGGAAAAGACAAGTCAAAACCGCACCGAAGACAATTATTGGAATGTTTTCCCTTCTTGAGATGTGGGAAAAGAGATTCAGCAACTCTTGAGTAATTTTTTGGGCTTCCTGCCAGTGCCACTACTCTTCAGGACAGGATTAATATTGTAGGATTTTATCTTTGACTTCTTAGCAGTATTGGATATTAGACCATAAATAAATTTTAGTGAGGATTAGTCATGTAGCTCTATCCCAAATCTCATTTCTGATTTTGTTTTATACATTTATGAATCCATCTACTGAATTTGGACTCCACAATTATCCAATATTTTGCTATGTTTCTCTGGCTTCCCATTTCTCTTGAGTTCATAGATTCCCTATTGGTTCAGGTTTTTAATTACAAAATCTAACAATCTCAATCAATCAAGACCAGTCATCATCTTGGTTCTGGGTCTTCTTTTGTTTCTCTTTAGAAATTTTACTTTTGTTTCTCTCTATGCATCACACACTCACACATACAAGAACTTTTAGCTGATAAATCCTTTTCAAAGTTTTCTACGTCCAATATCAACACTTCTTGTTCCATGAAATCTTCCTTGATATTTTTTCAGTACAACTCATGACAATTTATAATTTCAATTATGTCAGATCCAAGCATGCAGTCTCACCTCTTCATCCACGTTCAACACAATTCTCCAGCATGAAAGTTTTCAGTACTTTGATGATAACCAAATGCAGGTAAAATGCAACCCAAAACATGAACCAAAAAATGATCCAATTAGGAAGCCACCTTGAATGTGATATTAGTATTTGAGAAATTTATGGCTTTGAATTCTGATTTCTTTAACTTCATAGTACACAGGGAAAAATCTTGATCCCAAGGAAATGACATTAAAGCCAATTCTGATTATTAGTGGTTTCATCTTATCTCTAAAAATACAAAACTGAACAATTTTTAAATCTAAATAAAAGTCAAGTTTCCAGCTTATTTTTTTTGTGCTGCAAAGCATGCAAAAGCAGAAAAAAGTGAAGTTGACTACCAAAAAGTGCAAAGGCAGTATTCTCCTGCTGCACTATCACTGACTGCCTTCAAAAAAAAAGTGGGAGTCCACTAAAAGTAGGAGTTGTGTATTGAAATTGAACATATCTTAATCTATTTATCAATGAGTCACTTCTTTTTGATTTGATAAAGCTACTGTGGCTTAATCCAGGAATAGCATGTACCTACATGAATCTACTGTGGTTGAGTAAGCATTTTTCCCCCTTTTTTTGGGGGGGGGGGAAATCTTTGTGTGCACAATTCACCAGCTTCTCAGCCTGCTCTGCTTCCCTGGTGCATGCGGTATGATAATTTAGGCTTACATGAATTACGCCCACACAATAGTAGAATTTACGATGACCTCAAAGGTGCTCAAATCAGCATGTCATTGTGATCACTCCTGAATGATGTCATGATCTTCACTCGCTGATAACTCAATTCTCGTTTCTTTTGATCTTTGATAGGTGAACCATTTCTCCGATCAGGATTGATCAATCTGACGACATTGAGGTGTGTGACCCAGAATGGTGCGGTCCACGCACCTATATGGGCCCTCTTTTGATATCGGCTCCCTTTTTTCTGGGCTCTTTGTTCCCTTGATGATTGATGATTTCAGAAACTGCGCAGTCTGGATTCTCCCCCCTTGAGCATGGAAGAAGTCTGAGATCGAGTGGTCATCTTGCAGTTGCTTACATGAGCTCTTCCGTCGGGATTGGGTCAAGGGAAACCGCTCGCCAATCCGGATTCCGAATCGATCGGACGAGTCGGACGACGCCCTTTTTGCCAGTTTAGGCTTGGGCTCTTTGGTGTGTTTTATCGCGCTTTCTGCCAGTTTTGTCGATTGTTGCCCCAATTCTGACTGAGAGTGCCCATTTTAATCCGCCCACGGCTGTTCTCGCCAGGCATTCCTTTCAAGTCCCACCAGCACACTGCTACATATTTAAATACACCCGCCCTCTTCTTTGCATATCGTTCTTAAAGAATTATCCTCGTCTTCCGACCCTCAGCTTGAGCTTGATACCAGGTTTCCAGCCTCATAGGGTGAGTCTCCTTCTCCTCCTGAAGATGCTGTCGTTCGTTGTTGTTGTTGTATGCACAGTGTCACTTTCTTACAAGAACCAACCACTTACAACATCCTTCGTTCACTTTTGTTACACATCCAATACACATCCTGTACAATCATCGTACTGCTATCGGCTACATACTGCTCATACCTTCATCAAGTACGTTACATAAACTGCCATACATATTACAAAGACTACCATAGTTTTATAGCTGTGATCGATTGCTTGGCATACAAACATTAATACTCTATTTATCTCCAAAAGCTTACCCCCAATTGACATTCTTGTGTCTCCTACAACCTCTTGTAGCATCAAGCCTCCGAAGTAACGTCCATCCCGGTCTACCGATTGGCCTCATCGGCCCAGCCAGTGGATCAACCTATCCAACCGGACCTGATACTCCAGCAACTACTTGATTACGCTCCTCGGCCCTGGCCAAGAGTAGTCATACTTGTAGGCCGTTCAGGTATGTCTCTCGAGCACTTTTCTCTCATCTACTACCGATCGAACAGAGAAGTATGAACTGACGACCGCAAAAACTTATCCGTTTTTCCAGTACCATTGAAGTAACCTGCTTGACTAACCCAAAACCTCTGTCGATTGCCCAGCATATCAAAACAAGTCAGCTAGAAAGCTGCATTAGTTCTTCAACGATCAAGTCCACCAACACGCCCATCTCGTTTGTCTGTGCTCAGCTAGGATGGCTACCACCGGTCTCTATACCCTCAACGATCCCGTCCAGCAGGATCATCCTAACTACGGGCCCCCACTCGATCAAGCCAATCCAATCACACCCTCCGTTCCTATTCACCAGCTGCAAGACCATCAATCTTCATATGACCCCTATCGGGATCCCACAGCTAGCTTGGCCACCCATTACATCGAATGCAGCCGAGACAGTAGCGGCAGCAACACCAATAACGGCCAAGATAGCCATCTTGCCAGTAATGACAGCTCCCCATTTGGCAGTAACGGTAATCAGCTCACACCCAATATGGATGCCAACACAAACTTCCAAGCTATCATGACTGCAATCGATGACCCTTCCACACAACCCAACCAACCTCTGGCTTCCATCGAACCTGACCCCAGCATTTCCAATGCTAAGCCAGCAAACCATGCGAACTCACATGATCCTGCCCTTGACGAAGATGCCCCACATGAGGAGGACGACGACGAAGGTAGCGATAATGACTCATCATTTATTAACCCGCCGGTTTTGACTGGTGATACCTATCAAGATGGTAGTATCGACCCTAATCACCCCCTCACCACCTCCAACCTTCATTCCTGGTCTCATCCTCAAACCTCCCATCATCAGGAAATAGAACAGAAACCTGAAATACCCTCGTCAAGCGAACCTTTGTCCACCAGAAAACGGAAACGCACCTCCGATCAAAACGGGTCCGTCAAGACGCCTGCGCGCCGTGAATCTGGCCGACCCAAGCAGACCCCTCGGGTCAAGAGTGCTGAGCAGGTGGCCCGAGAGGCTTTGATTGAACAGCAAAACCCACACGCATCCAAGAACGAATTGCGCTCGCTCAAGCTGCGTGCCTTGCATGCCATTCGGATTGCTGAGCGAGAGTTGAACATGCCCGAGGCTGAGAAACAGAGACGGCTTCGGTTGAGAGAATATGTACGCCACAAAAGGGCTGAAGAGCGTAGTCTTAAGGGTTCAGGAAAAACAGGAACTACCGGGGGTTAGTGGATCGACATTTCTTATTGGCACATGGTATCTGTAACTTGCTTGTTGCTCACCGTACTAACACCACCTCTCTGTCATATCAGCGGAGGCTGAGTTAAAACCTCGAAGTGCAAAATCGGGTTCGCGCAGTTCAAGTCAATCTGCAAAAATCAAACAGGAGGTCGAACCTTCCGATCACCAAGAGGAGCCGCAGGCGACCAATTCTCACCTCCCAATGGCAGTATCTTATCCGAACCAATCTCAACAACTTCCAAGTCCTTCCGCCCCCTCTCCTATGAATGACTTGCCCGACAATCAGCTTGCACCCAATGGGCACACTTCAAATTCTAAGCGGAAGGCAGCACCTAAGAAGTCTGAGAAGCCACCGAAAGGCAAATCAGCTCCACGCGCCAAGCGTTCAGTGGCATCGTTAGAGGCCGAGATCAAGAGGCGAAACCCTAACGCTTCGCCAACTCAACTGAAATCACTCAAGCTTAGAGCTCTCCATGCCGACCGAATCGCCGAACGAGAACAAAACATGAGTGAGAAAGATAAGATTCGTAGACAGAAACTACGAGAGTACATGCGAAGACGCAGAGAGGAGGAGCGTGTAGAGAAAGGACAGGCACCAACCGAGTTGAGTTCCTACATTGAAGCCAAAGTCGCATCGGATTCGACCTTGAGATATCGAAGATCTTTGGACTCGAGTACTAGCATGAATGAAGAATCCCAGGTTAACCCAGACGATAGCTCGATGTCTGGGTTAACGGCAGCTCCACTAGTACCGGAGGGGATGAACGCAGACGATCGCCTGGCGGCCTTTTCGATGATGGAATTGACGAACAACTACCAGCACCAATTTGCACAGCCCCATCACGTCCCAGTCCCATCGCCCAACCTCCACCTGCATCCGCTCTTCCAGATGCCGATGGGCCAACCTTCGATTGAGGTCCCATCACCATACGACTCGATCCACACGGGCTATCCAGCGATGACGGAACAGTGGGCACACGTCCCTCAGCCAGATCCGAGCAGCCTACCGGCGGATGAGATGGCTGAGAAGGCGCTCCATGCGGCGCTCGAGGAAGCTATCTACATGAAGCCTCATGACCATAACCAGATCCCGCTCGGCGAACAACAACAACAACTCCATCACCATCATCCGCACTATTCACCTACTGAGCAATCTATCGAGGCTGACAGACTGGCCAGGTTGGAGCAGGAACGCATTCAACTTGCTGAGGACGAGATCTTGGGGATCGAACGTGCCCGCGAACTTGCAATGATCGCCGCCGCTGCTGCTGAGGTCGAACATGCCCAACAGATCTCTGGATCTACCTCCTCACATCGTCTGCGTTGAACCCTCCCACTTGATCTATCTCACATCTCTTCTACTTTTCTTCTCGTTTTATCATTTTGATCTTATCTTTTTCCATACTCTTACACGGAACCAGTCGGCAACAGCAAGAATACACCTCCCCCCTTTTTTGGTTTCTTCTTCTTGTGTCGTTTCTATTCTTATATTAAGACCACATATCCCCTCGACAAAACGAAAAAAAAAATCTATCCCACTCGCCTCTCATGATTGAAAATGAACTTTGCTGTTTCTAAATGATTTTTTCTTTCTTTCTTTTCCTTCCTTCCTTTCTCCGTCTCCTTTTTTCTTTTCGTTTCCTCTTCACCTCCTTTCCTTTTTGTTTTCTGGTTATTGGTTATCTAAACGGTCGGTTGAGTGAAGTGTTATCTCAAGTGAGTCTTTTCTTTCTCATATGTATACTCATGATTTACAAACCTTCTAACATTCCCTCTCTTTTGAACCCTTTCATAAAAAAAATAGTCAATTCTAAACAGGTCTTTTTCCGCGCAAATGTTGAAAGTATATTGGACGACATTGAATTGGTCAAGAATGATAAAATGAACAAAAGGAGGAGGACAGTTTGATTTCAAGGTTCCTCCTAACCCCTCCCCAAAAATAAAAATAAAGATCTCCCTTCCCTCTCGACAAAAGTAAAACAAACTTTCTAGAAACTGCTCCTTGAACTCCTTCCACATTGGTTTGTCAGTCTTCTCCCACGATTTTGTTACTATTATTATTTTCTTCATTTTGGGCTCTCGTGTTTTTCTTTTTTTTTTTTTGGTTAGTTTGTAGGACTTGATGATGATGGTGATTGACTCACAACACATACATACACGCGTATTTCTACTTGATTTGTTTTTTTGTTTGGCTTTTTCTGGATTGACGATCTCCATGTAACATTGTTCTCCCCCCTGCCCTTCTTAAACCAAAATTAAAAAAAAAAAAAAACACTATTCAATCTGCAATGTCATCATCATCCATCATCATCAGCCCCACGAATATCGTGCAATCCAACTGAATCAACCAAGCCATACGCAGCTTAGCCATGAGCAGTTCACCACAACCACCACTCCAGTCGAGCTCACCGATCACTCAGAATGAGTTGGACTCATTCAGGAACGAATGGATCGAAGAAGTCAACAGAACTACCACCAGCACTTCAGCATCAGCAACAACAGCATCAACAGCATCAACAGCAACAACAGCAATACTCCAACCTCAGCCCAGAAGCAGCACATCCAAACTGACAGTCGAGCAGCAACCCATAACAGCAACCGAACCCCCTCCTCAGTCACCCCTGATCATCTACGCCCGGGCGGTATACTACGAGCGAACTGGACTACTAGATGATGCATTGGTTGATTATCGGAAAGCTTTAAGACTAGAGCCCAACATCGACCGGGCTTACCACAAGTTAAAAGCAGAAGAGATCGAAGCACTCGAACGACGCTGGATCACTACTGAGAACCATTCAGACCCTTCCTTCCGCTTCTCTCGTTCCTTTCACACCGAACAAGACTCACAACATACCCATTATCCATCAACCAACCCGGACCAACTCGGAAAACGAAGCCATAAAATAAATGAACTCGACCCTGATAAACCGGCCTCCTCGGATTCTGAGCATCCAAGTAGTACCGCCAGGTTGCTCAACTATCTCATCTCAAGCTTCGAACATCATCCCTGGCAAAGAAATCCCCCAAATGAGGAGTCGGACGTTGGTCCGGATCAGGATCCTCAATCTGAGGCTATCAACAGCTCAGACGGGCAAGAGGGCCGATCGGTGCGCCTGGTCGACGAACAATTATCCAATCTAGAGATCGAGTCCGCCGATGATGATGATGATGGAGGAGCTGAAGGATCGAGCTCAAAACGGGCAAGACCGACGGGGAACAGTGTGCAGTTCGAGCGCCAAGAGATAGAGACAGGATGTCCGATCGAGAGTCTGCCCGCGGAGCTGTTCAACGACCACATCCTGAGTGTCCGGGGATTCCGTCGCGCAACGATCCATCTGCTCGTCGGGACCATCGAGACCTTCGCCCGGACCAGTCGGCGCGCAAGGCTCCTCACCCTCGGCTCCTCCGTCTGGCGCCAGATCTGTCTCTCTACTTACGCCCACGATCTCTTCGTCAATCGTGCCCTTGACATCAACCCTGCCGAGAAACTTAACCTCGTCGAATCCCTCTGTCGCAAATCTCATGCTCATGACTGGAGGAGAATGTATATCGAACAGTATGTCTCTCTCTCTCTCTCTCTGTCTTTTTTTACTTTAGACTTCTGCTAAGACCCGGGATGATTTCTTATCTTCTACATAGACCGCGTCTCCGATTGGATGGGTGTTATATCTCCTTGGTCAGGTATCCCAGACTAGGAGAATCGGCCAACCCATGGTACACTGTCAGTAAGAATCAGCATCCCTCTTCATCTCAGCAATCAGTGGTCCGTTTCCGCGCGACCAAAAAAAAAAAAAGAGAGGGACGGGGAAGATTGATGAGAAATTTGGTTTTGCACATATATGGATATATGGGATGTAATGATGATGAAAGCCGACGCATTTCGTGACCTATTTCAGATACCTGAGGTTCCTAGAAGATGGGCGATGTTTGTCGTTTACGAGCACGGAAGAGCCGAGCCAAGTAGTCCGCAGTCTGGGCTGGCCGAAGACCGGAGGAGGAGGAGGAGGCGGCGGAACTGAGAGTGTTGGAGGAGGAGGGACGAGTGGGAACATGACGAATATGGGCGGTGGCGGTGGTGGTGGGACGGGAGGGAAGAGCTTAGACGGTCTGTTGTTCGGATTGTGGTCGATCGAGGACGATCGCGTCAGGCTCTTCAAGCTCCATCAGGACCCCAGACGGCTCCCCTCTCGTCGGCTGCTTCCTCCCCCCCTCGACAGACACGTCGGAAGGGCTAACTACGAGTTCGAAATCGAGGGAAGACTGCGGTCTACTCGGCGTGGGAAAATGTTGAGCCTCGTTTCATCATCATCAGCTCCCTCTCTCTCTTTCTATCCGCACGATCTGTCCTCTTTTTCCCCAATTCATCTCACTTTTTTGGGTCGTACCTTTTGTTGGACTCTAACGGAATTAAACTGATTCTTAATTTGTTTGTTGTATAATATGTGTCCTATGTGTGTGTGTGTTGTTTTTGGAATGGATGTAGGAACAAGTTAGACATCATCCGCCTCTCGACGCTCAATTTAAACACCGGAGAACGGCTGGACATCCCGCTCCCAGCGACCGCATCGGGCACCACCGACGGCTCGTTCTCCGACCATTCCACCAATCCCCATATTCTTGCTGACTCTTCTTCTTCCTCATCGCCCTCCCCCGCTTCGACTTCTTCGCCGCAGTCATCTACTAAACCTTTCATCTTCTCTCGCGTGGTCGCTTATGATCATTCCTGATTAATTCTTTTTCCTGTTTCTTTGTTTGTTTCATTTTTTTTTTTGGGGGGGGGGGGTTTCTTCTTCTTTAGATTTGCTTCATTGTTTTATCATCGCATATAAATATCATGATTGTTATTATTATTATTATCATTGTTGTTGAATATATATTGACTACTACTAGTACATGCACTTGACCCCCCTTGTCATCAACTTGTACAACATATATGGTCTTGCAAGCCAGTCTGGGCACAAGCCCAAGTTGGGCAAAAAAGAGGCCAAGCGTGCTTGGCCGATCCCAAACCCCTTGTGGCACCCTTTAAACCCAGCTTGGCCTATACCCAACCCCCGCTTGGCACATGTCAAAGTTGGCGGGGGTTGGAGAAAAGCCTTGCTTGGCCAACATCAAGCAAGGGTGCCACGCCCGCTAAAAGCCAATGCACCCCATAACTCAAGGGGTGCATAGTTGTGACCCATCAACTCAACCAGCACCTGGACACAACTTCACAGCCCAGTACCATATCCTCCTCAGCTTGATGCGCCGAGCAACGGTACTGACAGAAGAGGACACCAGTGGGGCTAGAAGTGTGCCTCGAGAGCTGGCCCGGGCTCGTAAGTCTCTCTCCTTGACCCTGAGGTGGATCTCTCTTGAGATGGGCCATGATAAAGAGAAGAGACAAGTCGATCGAAGAAGGAGGGGTGGATCCCGAAGGATTCAAGCATGAACTTGGACAGCAGCAGGGGCCCAAGGAATGAGAAGAGCAGCCGATCCAGGATTCTAGGTGAACTTATCGGCCAAGCGGGGCTTGGCTATGTGTCAAGTCCCGCCCCCCGCACAACCTGCATGATCAAGCCTTCTGGGCACAAACCAAACCCCCGGTGGCACTTGGCCAAGCGGGACTTTGGTTTGTGCCCAGACGCGCTTGCAAGACCATATGTATGGTGTTGCAAGCCCGTCTGGGCACACACCAAAGTTTGGTCAAGAAAAGGCCAAGCGCGCTGGGCCAATCCCAAAGCCCACTTGGCCGATCCCAAAGCGTGCTTGGCACCATCCCAACCCCCGCTTGGCACATGCTAAAGCTGGCGGGGGTTGGGACAAAGCCTCGCTTGGCCGAAATCAAGGGAGGGTGCCACGCCCGCCAAAATGCCGGCCCCCGAGAAGGCCATCTGCTGAGTCGGGGTCCAGTGCCGGGCTGGTGCACAGGCTACCAATCGGCCCAGGGCTTGAAATAGGCCCAGCGGGACTTGGCTATGTGCCAAGTCCTGCCCCCCGCCCATCCTGTCCGATCAAGCCCTCTGGGCACAATCTAAACCCCTGGTGGCACTCGGCCATGCGGGACTTGAGATTGTGCCCAGACGGGCTTGCAAGACCATATATGTTGATCATTTCTTTATTTTCGGGATTATCTTCCAAGAAAAGAAACCGATTTGGAGTGTTTTCTTGGACCCGCAGGCTGATAGAGCAGTTCCCATGAAGCTTGCGTCTGCAAGCCTCTGGGATCCTAACTTAACTAAGTCCCTCCGGGCAGTTGATCCGATGGCTTTCTGGAGGAGGGTCCCTGCCGAACTTAACACAAGTCACCTATTCCCTGCAGAGTGGCCTCGCCCCTGTTGCATTGCGCTCTCTGTGAGACAGAGACCCTGCGGGGCTGCCCTCCGGGCTCTCACTCGAGAGGCTTGTGTTAGGCTCGGGTCCCTGCGGGACGGCGTCCCCCCTCCAAATAAAGGGACTTAGGTAAGTTAGCTGGGATCCCAAATTTTTTATTTTTTTTTCAACGACCTGTGGACCTACATGCCATACACTGTAGAAGTGCAATAATAAATACAGGGTCTTAGCTCATCTGACTCACAATAAATGAGGAGCAGTAATACGATCCAATCTGGACCACACGAATAACAAACGAATCCGTTACGCAAATGGGGACAGACCAAGAATATCCTCGACCTGTTGTGAGTAGGACATGGCTGGACGTTTCAGATTGCACTTATGTCAGACTTGCAAGGAAGTGGAACTTGTGGTGCATGACAAAGTACTAAGCATTTTGGTAAGAATGTTCGACCAATTGATCAACCGCTGCCAACAACTACTAAATCCACTACTAAAGGCGACTACCTCTGTCATCGAGATCACGGAATAAAACTCCGCTTAC